TCCGGAGCGCGTGCGTTTGACTGGAGGACGCGCATGTTGGAGAGAACATGGACACTCCTATAGGTCAATTTCTTCTTATAGGAAACTTCCGCCGCCGGCTTGCCCGGGAACTACTTGTATGCTTAAGCACCTATGTAAGGTAATGTATTTCATGATTCATGTAGCAATATCTTCCAACACCACTGTTCCAAAGGAAATCTATTTTTGATCTTTCTGCATCACCTTCCTTGAAACCCCTTCCTTGAATCTGCCAGTTTGGGTGCTTTCCTTCAGCCAACTTACTGCATTCCTTTCTTCCTTTGGGACATCCCTTCAGCCAACGTCCCGTTGATGTCCCGCTACCCGTGGGAGAGCTCGTGGTCTTACTCCGGCGCCGCCGCTGCAGGACGTCATCCTCGCGGAGCACGGGTGGTGCACTGATGGAGCCGCTGAAGTGCAGAAAAAAGAAACAGTGTCGTTGATTGTTTGGTGTGTAGTACATATATCTATTTATAGTCATCCTGGAGTAGATAGAATATATGGACAAAAATCCAAGAAACAAAAGGACACTGGCAATGTTTTGGATTGGTTCATATTCTATCTACTACAGGATGGTTGCATAGACTGCATGGACAGTATATATATATATTTTATAAATTGTTATATACACAAATTCTAGATTCTAGATTCCATCCAAACCTGCCTTGATAAGAGATGAGAAACAAACAGTCCATTACAGGGTGGTTGGTACTTCAAGACAAAGGTCAAACAGTTCAAATTTGGGATTGCTCCAAAGTCATGCCTCGAATGGCAAGCATCTTTGGTGACCCATTGGTTTGCACAAACCGACAAGAGAATTCCTGGAGCATGTAGAACATGGACTAAGGAGAAACCCAACATGTAAAGCACCCAACTCAGGATTCGGAATACCCTATTGTTCAACGCACCTCCCACCCAAACGATGTTTTCTTACTTGTATCAACAAAGACAAGCAATGCAATGGCAAAAACCAAAGAGGTGATTGTGACTTGGGGCAAACACCTACGCCCACAAAAACGGTTCTATTGGTTGATACTATTACCAGCAACAGTGCATGTCTCCACTTTGGTGAGGTTACAGGCCTTTGCATCTCTAAACTAGTGATGTTTTGGTTCAACCCAACGACTCAACAGCTCTGCAGGTGTCCAACAAACCCGTTCCCTCAACTCGCCTGGACCACATCGCGGCGCACTAGTACGCTGAGGTCACTATAGCCCTCCTGAGGCCCCAAAAACACGAGGACCAAGGGGCAGCTTTGGATGCCTTCAAAGCTGAAATGGCAACTTTACCGTTCAATATTCCAGCTCTTAACATTTGTCTTAACAAAAAAAGCTTCCTCGTCCTCGTTCTTTTCCCTTGGGATCTGATTTGCCAGATGCCGGCCAGTAGACTCTACTGAACGTGATTGAACACAATATCGGATTCAATATCGAATGCGTGCGTATATGAGCTTGTTTGCTGACCGAAGGTCAGTAATTAAAAGTATATCCCACTGCATAATATATATAATATATATATATAATGTTGGTGGTTGAGCAAAACCACAAGTAACACCATGTATCAACATCGCCTCTGTCCCTATGTGGTAAAACATGGTAAAACATACATAAAACAGGGTTGATCTATGAAGCCCCCACATAAAAATGCTTGATCATCTGGGAATCAACATGGCTTTGGCCCTAGATGAATTGGTGCACGACTTCTCTCAACCATTCTATTATAACTTACTATAATATTGGTAACGTTACTAGTACTATACTCTTCAGAAAGAAAGCGTCACTGTCAGAGTCATGTTCCTCCAAAGTGCCACACACACACACAAAAACAAAAACAAAGGCCACAACTTGCCACAATCAGATCCATCAGTGGCCGTTTCCTCGTTGTGGGGCACTCATCCCACACTGCGAAACCTTACCCGCACCAATTGGCGCCTTGCCGACACCACTACCAGCCGCGCTGGGGCCATTGTTCTTGTGTGTGCCTGGGCAGTGGGCACATGGAACTTCTATGAACTTCTATAGACTGAAAAGGAACGGTGACTACTATAGCCTTTCAAGGGGTTCCCATATCCGTGAACTTCTACGTATATCTTGATATACCAAAAAGCCTTGCTAATGAGTATCAGTCATTAGTGAATATCCGGGGGTTCGACTCTACCTGCTTGGAGGGCGAAGCTCCATTGCTTGTGGGATCAGACAGTGATATCCGTGATGCTGTGATATATGATTTCCAACCTCCAAGCCTAGACCCATTCTGGACGAGGACTTTGGTATCTGCTTGGACTTTGGAAGAATATTCCCCCGGAGGGGTTGAAGTCCATCATGCAAGGCTTCCCGTATTTGGGACCTTTGGTTCACTACCTAGCACTATCTAACCTCCTGGTTTCCAGTTGAGAGAGACTCAAATTGCTGTGGGGCTGGATGACAGTCAAGTGATCTTTCCCTAGGGCTTCAACCATATCCGCAGGTTCGGTGGTTAGACCCCCAAAACCACCCTAACCACCGAACCGAGACGGAGGTAGGCCAGGAGCCCTAGGGTTTGATAATTTTTGGGACCTGAGGCTCAACAGGCACGTGCTGCACTGGCTGCTAGAAAGTGACGACCACCCCATGGCGCAGTTCACGATCTACAAGCAATGGCAATATCCATCAACGAACCTGGTGTGTTCCATGCCCAAGGGTTACTGCATTAGAGATATCTTAATACTATATTATGTATGATTTATACAAGGTAGCTTAGATTGCAGCTAGTCTTTTCGTGCAAACCAACAACTTGCCCGACGCCGCCTGTGTAGGTGGAGCGGTCGTAGTAGAAGCGCTCAGGGCCACTCTTCGGCAGGTCGTAATCCTCGCGCCATTGAATTGTACGGCAATGACAAGACTTATAAGTAAAGCTGCTTCATGGAAAAGAAGTGAACAAACCGTTTGCGTATGAAAGCTGCTTGGTGGAAGAACCACATGAAGAAAAACCACGGAAGAACCTTGAAGAAGGGAGTCCCATCCCTTCAATCCGAACGAAACCATCACCGCTTTTCTCGGGGACCCCGCTTTCGGACCTTTCCACCCCGCCGGGCCGCTCCTCGCGCGAGGCCCAACTCTCTGGGGGCTCGTGCCGGCGCCTGGAGCGAGCTATGTGGGCTGGTTGGCACCGGGGGACGCCCCCGGGTTGACCGATCGATGAACCAACGACCCGGACCGACATGGTCACCACGGTCGTTGAGGTGACCTCACTCACCGTCCGAGGTCCGAGGTCCGAACTGCAAATGGGTGAAGACCATGAGATGAAGAGGTGGGTGTGTATTTGACAGGGAGGTTTTCAACCAATGGGTTTTTGTCTATTTTCCCTTCTTCCAGATGGTCTTTGAGGGGTCCTACTATATAAAATACACACTCATGTGGCAACGATTCCAGCGATGAGTTTGCTGAGGCAAATCCAAAGTTGAAGAGTTGATGAACAGAATTGATCAGAATTGGCAAGAGAATGGGTATTGGGAATCTGAACGTGCTGACCAAAAGTGCAGATGGGCAAGATCCTGAGCAATCATTTGCACCTTCTTTTCCTACTCAAATTATCAAGAATCAGTGGAATATATTCTACATCAAAAGCATGTCTTGCGGGAGCAGGGTCGGGCCACCCCTCTGTTGCATTCTGCAAAAAATGATATAGAGATCTGTATAATCACCACACAAGTAGTCATTCATGGACACCTGTTGTGGTGCGCTTGCATCCCTTACATTGCCTTACATTGCTCCCATATATACAAAAGCAACGTTCCTCAACCCAGAGACGACAACCCCAGTTGCCCGCGCCTGTTCGCCAGCTGTTGAGATGTGCCGCTGCACTTGTGGATCCCTGTGCCGCTTGCGAAACCAAAAAAAATATCTCATGATATCTCATGATTCTGTAAACCAGTGGGTGATATGGACAACTTGATATTTGATCTGGAACCAACAAATGTTAGTTCTGATTTTGGTCTTTGGAACCAGTGTTTACCAGCCGTAGACACTGTTTCTGATGGCAAGTGGCTTTTATAAGGGTGACCTGATTTTCACAGCTGAATTGTGGATGCGACTGGTTTAGTAGTTGAGGAGCTGCAACTTGATGAAAGCAAATCTTCAATTAGTATTATATAGTGAGGGGGCGGCGGAGAGAGCACGTATGCAAAACCAAATGCCCAAAGCTTGGACTATCCTCACCAGCGAGCGAAAGAGAGAGAGATGGAGAGATGCAGGGAAGGCGGTGACAAAGATGAAGAGGGAGATACATTTGGCGAGATTCCTTACGATGAATTAGATTTGGGTCTGTCTCACTACCAGCATCAGTGGATGATGATGGTTAGTAAAGGCCTTTCTCTAACATAGGATTTGTTTACCAACTGTTACAGGCGGGAATGGGACACCCCCCGCATTAAATTTTGTTTCTGTCAAGATCACATGCCTTCATTGCATTGGTCAACAAAGGTTACATGCTGTCGGTCGTTTCTCGCAAGCAGTTGTCAAGCTCCAGTTCATCAACATTGCTTTCATTCGGTATTGGAATCCTCCCCAACATCAGACTGTCTCAAAATTGTCATCAAACATCATGCTGCACTTGACATTCCTTCAACAAATAAATATAGATCTAAACCAACTGCGAAGCCATGGCCAGGAAACCTTGAAATTTGTATATACCTTCTTCATGTAAGGAGGCCCTGTGTTACTTTCCTTCTCAGTTTTACACTTTCACATGGTCTTTGTTCCATTCTAGATGGGAAGATACGCGAAGCCACACTCAAAACTCCACCTCACCCAGTTTTCGACACTTGCTGTCATCAACTCGTGACCTGCTCATCCACATCTACATCCCGCACTCCTGTCGCAGTCCTCTCCTCCAGTCTGTCCCCCTGTCTGCCTGTGTAGGTGGTCTTGTCGTAGAAGAAGCGTTCCGGCCCAGCCATGTCCTCGAAGGCCATCTGCGACTCCTCGTCGCCGTGCGCCAGGCACACCCGATCCATGGCCTGCGGCCGCGAAAGAGTCCAGCGCTGGACTGTGGGTTCCTCGAGAAACCCAGTGGAAACGGGAGACCAGTACCCAAACACTCCATGTATCTACACTTGCACTTGGCGCCGTATGTATGATTGGTACACCAGTACCCAAATTTCAATTAGACTAACACTCCATATCCATATCTCATATATCTCCAAGTACCCAAACACTCCACGTATGGCATATTCATCTACATTGCACTTGGCGGCAAAGTCCGCTGCCCGATCTGCGCATGTGAGATGTCCAAGGGTTGATTCTTGGCCCATCTGGGTGCACCAGCTCTTTTCAGTGGGTACGAATTGCGATATGTGCGATATGTTTTGTGCGCCGCTGCTTGCATGGTCTGTAGTCTTTTGATGAGAAATCATTTGTTACCTGATGTATCCTTATCCCACTATTGGCCTGTGGTAATTACAATTGAGCCGTTTGTTGGGTGAAATTCCTTCGCCACATTCTTCGATCTTCCTCCGTGCATCGAGGACATCGGTACCCCAACCATGTTCCAACAGCACGGCTGTTACTCCGAGGGAAATCGCTGGGAAATCGCACCTCTTCGAGGAGCAAATCTTTCTTCAAGGCAACTTCCGCCAACGCCTGCGCCAAGGAGTCGCTGTTGCGCTTGGCCAAGGAGAGAAGGCTCAGGTCAGGTCAGGTAGATAAGACTCAGAACCGGTTTCTGCCACGCCACTCTGCGCTAAAATGCATGTGTGATTGTGTGTGTATGAAAATACATGGAGGGAAAAACACAAAAAACCACATCGCGCCTAGGGCCTAGGGAGGAATCTAGTTGCCAAGATGATGTTCTAAGTATAAGAGGTGAACAAGGGAGGAAATACACACATTATATGTAGCCATATGAATCTGTTTTGCTTCTATCCCTTTTCAATCTACTTGAGGATGTCTGTTGCAAGATCCATTTCTCGGCTCCAAACAACAGGACCACGTTCACTTACTTTGTCAAACCACGATCAACAACGTGTCTCGCAAACCCCGCGATCTCTTTCGGCGCCTGAAGAAAGAGGTCATAGTCAATCTTCCGGGCGCCCTTGGGCTTGTGCCGGGCGAAAATGAGATCGGCCTCGCACGAACGGGTCGATCGGTTGGCGTCGATCTGTCTCCCGTGGGGACGGGGTACTGATAGGAGCTTGCCGAAAAGAACATGGCAATGCAACATGGACACACATCATAATCGAGACACTGATACAGTCTTTTTGTTTAATGTGTTGTCTCAACTCCCACACAGTTTCACATGTTGGTTGTTTTGTGCTACAAGTATTGCTTGCTCCAGGTCCATAGGTCCATCACCCGAACGCTGCCAACTCAGTTTTGCTCAGGGAAAACCAACCCACCAACGTCATGCATTAGAGCCCAGCTTCAAACATGCTGGCCGTTCGGCAGGCGCACAGGTGCTACTGATGGTTCCTCTTGGTGCATCGTTGGCTTGAGGCCTCTTCTCCCGAGTTCGATCGACCGAGGAAGTAGCGATTTTGCTGGAAAGTCTTCAGTGGGATTTGGACGATTCGTCTGAGTCGCCCAAGAGAGGTTGGAACCACACGGGGGCCACCTGCAGCTTCTGAAAAGCCAATCATCTTGAGGTTCGAGAGTGTTTTTGCATCACTGAATGTCCAGTGAGTGGGACTTGGGACTCTCAACAAACATGAAAGTGAGCAATCATTGTTGAGAGTCCGTGCACTCCATGCGGTCCATCAACTGTACCACTGTGTATCGTTCTTGTTTGCCACACTGTGAAGCATCAACAAGTGCTATACAGATCTATACAGTATACACTATGGTGTTATACCATCAATACATATCTATATATATACTTACTGTATACAGTATACACTCTATTTTCTGGAAGTTATGAATGATCTCCTGTATGTCTAATGAATGGCTTGTGCTCTTCCCACATCAACTAACAGCTGCTCTTTTGCATTACAAATATTTTTTCAAGAAAAGATCCAGCCGTGGGTGGGCATGTGTCCCGGTGTATGTATATTCCTGGCAACCTCCTTAGAACTGGCAGAACTGCCACCCATTCACCCCTTGAAAACACCACTCGTTTTCCACCAGCCCAGTCAAACATGCAGGTCATTGCCTAGGAGGCCATTCTTTAAAGACAGCCATATATACCGGGCACAGATCTTCGCCGCTCGCGTCCTGGCCTGGACGGTTTTGAGCCTCTCGTCCAGAAGCCCCGAGACCTGCCGGTCTACGAGTCGCGGCGTCGGGGTGGGATGGGAGAAAGCCCGGTTCGAGAAGACGCAGAGTTCTTAAAGAACACTATATCTGGGCTTACGCAGAGTTGACGGAGATTTGCTAGCTACGTTTTCTTTCAAGAAGAAAAGCATCGGCTGGATTTGTGGGTGATTATGTGTGATCACGTGAAAAACTGATAGATAATTTTGATATAAAACTATATTGTTATTTTGTCTTTCCACCATCACACATTCCTGACTGTGTAGGGCACGTTTCACTTGGCACAAGCACATGGCATGAATGGACCAGGACCATTTCGTTTGGGGTATAAATGGACTGGACACCCTTGGGAAGAGGCAACTAGATGAACACCCACTGAATGAGAGGTGAATAGCATTCTCATCACACATGCAAATGCATGATGATTTCCTGCCATTTCGCAGGCGGCCTGCCATATTGAACTGCCTACAACCGCCTACAACCCACTGGACCCTGTTTTGATAGGAAAACATCGGACAACACAACATGTTCAGGCTTTAGGTATACCCTGAAGTCCAATACGACCCTACGTTTCCTGAGTGAAGGTGTAGTAAAGAAGTTCCCTTAAGACTTCAGGTCCCCTAAAGACTACACATCCCTCTTTTGCTTCTCTCCGTCTCCGCTCCAGAGTCGTCGACTCCGCTCAGTTTCCGTCCTTCAAACACTTCACAAAGGCCCGACCATCCATCTCCGCGCCGCCTGGAGCGATGGGCAGCATGGGACCGTTGAGTGTAGTTAGTATTTCAATAGGGAGACACACCTATCATAGTCTAGTGAGACACACGGTCTACAGTAGTACGTTTCATAGGGAGACACAACTATCATAGTGAGACACCTGCAGCCAATTACTTTTGGTCTAGTTGTTGCTGTTAGAGTGGTTTGTTGGGGAGGTCTCTATGTGATGATCATACACACCCATATTATTGGAAACATATGGTTGCTCCATGCTGCTCCAGGACGCCTTCCTTCATGTAGGGCGGGACATGGTCAACGATGGTTCAATGGGTTCGTTCTTGTGATCTCTTGGGGTGGAAGTTCAGTGGTTTGGACCTTCCAACAAAGACCCCACATTCTCTTGCTTTGGAATCCTTTGGATAGTTGTGATACGTTGTGATAGTGCTATTCAGGTCTTCCGTCTTCTCCTTTTCGCAGAGTTGGCAGACAAAGGCACGGCAGACATCGGAAAGACCGGACGGACCCGGCACCAGCGACTTGGAAGGCGACGGTCCGACCGGTCCAAACGAGCTTGACAGGCTGGAGTTTGCGATGAGCATCCTGCAGTGCTTACAAACAGCACAGTTCCAATAGACCAATTTCTTCACCTTGACCACAGGTCTGTTGACTGGGGATTCACTGGAACTCGTGTGAAAGGGTCAAATGGCTCAGCTCATGACACTTCACTAGGAACTTCCTCGAGTGCCAACCCATTTACCTTGCCTGCGATGGCATGGAACACGTCTCGTAAGACGTCAACCATGGCACAAAGGCAGCCCGCTTGACTAAGCGCTGGGCCACCGATCCGACTAATGGGCTAACTTTCCAGCAACGAGCCGAATCGGAGATCGGGAAATACAAGCAACACAAACCAAATCACCTTTCAAATCTATTCAATTCTTATTCATCCGGTGTTGAAATGTGTCTAAATCTGTCTTATGGTCTTTCCGGGTGCTCAAGGTCTTCGCTGCAAAATTGATGGCATGGCCAACTTCAAAATAGGTTAGACTCGCTCGAACAATCCATTTGCCTCTACAAACAGAGGATTGTCCACTTCCAGATTTGAACACATCTTACCCAACCATTCCAGCAAACGACGGTGAACACCCTGTGGGGACCCTCCCTTCTTTGTGAGGACTGCTCCATTTTGTTTCTAAGATGGTACAGGCTTCTACCAACACATCTGTCCCCCCAGAATTCTGTACACACATAACTTGAATAACTACCAGCATCGCTACGTTCGGTCTTTCTCTTGAATCCACATATTTCACCTAGTCGCTGCGTCCCATCCTGCCCGCTCCCATGACCTCCAAGTGTCGCGCATGTGTGGGAAACAGCCCCAGCCACAACCGCACCACGCGTGCCCCCTGCCGCCGCGCAGGGCTGCACTCGGCGACACGGCGCAGGGCGTGCGTCGCCGCGCACGCCGCCGCGCGGGCCGCAGGGCGGGCACCGGCAGGGAAGGCGGCGATGGAGGCCTAGGGCGGCGAGGCTTATGGAGGTGTCCCAAGCAACTGCTGCGGTTCACAACCCAGTGCGGCTGGCAGTGGTTCCAACTGCCTGTTGTGATTCAGAATCTTTAACCATGAGGGTCAAGTTCAGCGTTCCAGCACTGCGCACAGCCCCCCCAAATGTGGGCAGGTGAGCAAAGGTTTGCAAGCACAACCGTCCACCATTGAAAGGATCGTAAGAGTGGTCAGGACTGTCGAGATTTACAAGTTGACAAGGCAAAATGTGCCGGATGACCGGACCGAACAGTAAACGCTGCCGCTGGCAAGTTTGACTCAATTCCAAGTGCTATACCTGGATCAAACAACGATGCAACAGAAGTGCGGATGTTGAGTTCTATCGGGGGTCTGGGAGTTCCTTTGAAACCGATTGGAGCCATCAATTTTGGACACTCCTTGGATATATGCTGTACATTCAAAGACCAAGCTCCCACCCTTCCTCCATGACAGGCCCTTCTTCACATTAACCCCCAAGGTGCATAGAAATATACACCATAAGCCACGGGAAACCCTCCAAAAGAACGCGATATTGAACACAATCCAACTGGAAACCCAGCTGGGCCACGGGATGTGGCTGCAGGGCTTTGACCCCTATAACCAGGTAAAGAAAACACTCAATTGGGTGATTGGGTGTGCATCAGAATAGGGAGACTCCCTCAATGACCGCTGGGGCAATCAAAAATAGACTAAATCCAGTGGTTGGGAGTTGGGAACTCCCCTATTAAAAAAGCAAACCCAAATGAACTTCACATAATATGTTCACCACTGCACCACTGGATTCTACTTCTTTTTGCCATCGCATCATGTCGTCCCACCGCCGCTGAAAGCCCGTGCGGCCGCGCGGCCCGCAGCTCATACCTGGGCTGCGAGTCGAAGGCCGGAAAGCGTCCGAAGAAACCACAGGGTTCGAGGCCCTCGTGTCTGGAGGTGGTGTCTCTACTGACACAAAGTCCTGAATCTTTGATAGCTAAATGCTAGGAATGAATAATAATGAATTAACACATTTGTTTGATCCATGATTTTGATGTATTTTAACTTTGAGCTCGATAGCATCCTGACGCGGACGGTGATCTTGATGTAAACTTCATAGTTTCTCGACTACGAGAACAATTTAGCTCAATAACCTTTAAAACAGGACAAAAGAAGCACCAAAACCTTCCAAACAAGGCAAGATTGTTTCACCCAACATACGATTATCCGGGTGATTTGCCCAAGCCACGCAGTGGATTTCTTGCGTGGTTATTGCAACTTGCTCCGGCAACCAGAATCAGACGTGCCAGTCGCATCAAGCAAAACGCACGAGGTTCGCAAAGAACTCAAAGTTCAAAACTCAAGTTCCGGTCAGATCCTGAACCGTACCAGGACCCTCTAAGGGGTGCCCAATGGAAGCCTATAGGTAGTGTGGGGTAGTCCATTGGACACCCCTTGGAGGGTCCTGGTATAGTGTTTGCTGGAGGGTTCATTTTGCGAAGCCATGCATTTACAGCACAGTTTCCAAGCATCCCTGCCCGTCTGAGCGGACTGCCCGGCAGCCTGGGACCCTTTTTGCAGCTGGGAACACGTTCACCTTTCGCTTCACACGCACGAGTGACTCAATGTGAGCGGAGTGGCGTGAAATGGCGAGAATAAGTTCATGTACTCATGTACTCCCTTGCATGCACAAAGGTATACCAGCTGCCCTCTCTATACTCGGCAGCTCGGCCTTATGTTGTGCTTCTTTGTTTCACACGCAACAGTTTTCTCGAGGGAAAGTGCATGAAAGTGCCTGGCTTGCGGAATTCCTTCCATCACATTTCATAACCATCGTAAATAACAACACGGGTGAGGCGAGGCTTGGATGCATGGATGCTTTGAGCCTGCCAAGCTTGAAAAAGCACACCACCCATAGCTCTCATCCAAGGTGCCAATCATGGTTCAAGTTGGGCGACAATGCCTCCCACTTTGCGAGCTCTTGGAGTAACAACTGACCTAGGACACGGTTTCCGTGGCCAATTGCTTGCTTGTGTTTGGCCATTTTGTGAACCGCCCAGAAAGAACAGCAGCTAACTAGGACTTGTTCTCAAGCCACATACATCAACAATGAAACAGAAAGGTTGAAAGAAATGGTTGAATCCACAGCTCCACCGTGTCTGACATGAGGCACATGAGGCAACCTTTGGCAGCTATAGCTATAGCACTGCTACAGCACTTGGCACGACGTTTCATTCGATCCACACCAAAATCGCAGAAAACTGTGGTAGGAGTGCTGACCTGGACCAACGTACTGACCAAGACCCTGTCGTTTGGGACTTGAAGTCATGGTTAGCCCCAAAATGCCCCTTGCCAAACGACCAATGAGGCGGCCCGGTTGCAACCGGACCCCGCCCGCTTTGGAATACAAAAATCCTAAATCCAATGACGCACGCCCTGTTGCTGACGGTGATGGATTTGACCTCATCGGCACATGTATAATGTATATTTTGTAGAGATGCGGCAAGAGTCTTGGGGCAAACATGGTCAACGTTTCATGCCAGTGTTCCAATGTTAATTATATTATAGTTAGTGCTGATTTGATCTGATCTGTGAAACAACTTGCAATCAAACAAAACCTTTCGCCTCGATACCAGGTCCTGTCTACTAGACCATCAGCCTCAAAAGCTGTACAACATGACATCATTGATATCATCTGAAGTGGACACCCAGGAGGCCACAGGGCATGCTGCACCGGCCTTGACATGACCGCAGCCGCCTAGATCTGATCCTTTCTTTGTGTTTCACACGGCATCTTTGAGACATTTTGCCTTCATCCGAACCACGGCAGGAGAGCTTCACCGGGTCTGAATCAATGGGAGTGATTGGCACGCGACCTCTCACGCGCTGCGCTATGTCACGCTTGGGACGCGAGCGAGTGTGGAAATGGAGTTTGACAAACAATTTCCCAACAGGCAGCTTTCGTTTTCTTCAACCGCCGCTCGTCCAAGGCAGTAGCACCGCTAGCGCTTGCTCTGGCACTGTGTTCTTGCTCGAAGTGCGGGCGGGCGGACTTGGACCTGAGCCGAATCAAGGGGGGTCTGCACTTAAATCCGCTGAGACATAACGACGAAGCTCTCCAGGTGGTAGCTCCAGCGACCCTGACAAAGGCAGCTGACTGTGCCGGCTGTTGATCGACTGGCACCACGGTGATGAGACGATTTGGTCGAGCAAGGCGGTGGCGGCATCGTTGACTGTCAGGATGCCTTCATCAGGATCACCGGCCGAATCAAGCAGGTGTAACTGTGCGAGCGAATCGCTCGTTGACCAATACGTGGCCAAGACCAAGACTACCAAGACGCCGCCAATGTGCCTCATCTCGATGGTACGTGAATACGTGGCTTCCAAAAAAGGAAGTCAGGTCGACTCCGAACGTCGTCGCAAGCACTGCACCGTAGTCGCAGTCACGCCGGCGATGTATACATATAACCCAAACACTCCATGTCTGTCATGTATGCTGACATTGAACCCCCGCAATGTAGGCATACATACATTACAAATATATATATCCCAGTGGGTCAACGCACCAGTTTAACCCGTCCTTTGGACTTGCTGGGTATATATATATATATTCCATACATGGAGTGTATGGGATATGTACTTGCTGCCGTTCTTGCTGAGTCATATGCCGACTTTGGTGCTCCTCCGATACATCCGCCCCGCGAGGGCAAGAAGCAGCATGAGAAGTTTTTTGCATGTTCAGTGCTTGTTGTGCTGGTTTAGAGAACCCAGTTCAACCAGTTGTTGTCATATGTCACACCCATTTTTGGGGTCCAAATGATTTTCCAACCAGGTCATCAAATCATGGTGCCTTTTTGTGTTCCTCCCGTCACAGGCCGGGTGCCTTCCCCACCCCCCGGGCCTTCAGTCTAAGTGGCTGTGGGTCAAAACCGGGACACCCTGGTTGACCACCAAGAATGCAGAGAATAGACTACCTGGGAGGTCAACCTACCCTGGTTTTGGGCTCCGGGTTTTGACGCCAAGTCGCTTGAAGAGACCTCCGGACCCCGACCTGCGTCGTCCACCTCCGGACACGGCCTGCGCCCGTGTCGCTGCCGTGTCGGGCCGTGTCAAACCAAACACGTCTCAGCGGAGAGAAAGGAGCAGGCCGGAAACACACTGCGAACCTACGAACACTCACAACATCTCACAACAATGAATCATGAATGAAACTCGATCTGGTGTTTCATATCGACTTGGTCTTTCATATCGTAAGATGATGTCTTAAAACCTCATCGCTCAATTTGCATTGGACTGTCCGACTGTCTGCCCACCCTTCACTTCTCTCACCCCCACTGGCGAAACGGCCAACACCTCTCGCGCGGCAGGTTCGGCGACGGCCTCCACCGGGCATAACTGGCGCACAACTGACCGCCGCATCAAAAGAACATGAACAAACTTTATCCCAAAGGCCTCTGCAGAAAAGCAGTTGCACCAAACCCATCCTAGATCCGACTAGATGAATTTTAAAACGGCAATGCACAACATATTACAGATCCATTACAGACCCAATCAATCCATCCACATCTGTGGCTTTTTATTTCCCAAAACACGGCATAGAGTGCTGCCGCTCCAAATGGCTCCGGCCCCTCGGCCACCAGGTTCACGGGCAACGCGGTTCACGGGCAACGCGAGACCACCGAGTACGCCTCATCTCAGTCTTGGCACTCTTCAGCCTGAGAAAGAAAAACACAAGGAAGCAAACGGTGTTTTATCCTTTTTCTTCGGCCTGAGTTGGTGATACTCGTAGCTTCTTGCTTCTAGTCGTAATGGCCTCCCACCTACTCGCGATGGCCTCCACCTAATAATAGCGACCTTGTTACTAGTAGTTTCTTGCTACTAGTCGCTTTTCCGTTGTGGGGTGTTGTTTTTGTTCTTGACTTACTTCAGCCTGAGTTGAGTTGGTGAGCCAGAGACGAAAGTGAGTGAGTCGTTACTGTCACGGGGTGTTCGTGTTTCCAATTATTCAGACTAGGGCCGGAAACACAGTGGGCTTTGCAGTTACTCTGACTCTGATTTTGAGACAAACCCGAATTTACCATCATATACCACACTTGTGGGACACCGGAAGGGAATATCTTGCGCATACTCTTGCGCATCTCACGCCCATTCGATGGAGAGCCATGCAAAGAGACCCTCTTCTTGATTCGTATGCACATGTATGCAGTGTCTCAATGGTAGGTAGTGAGTGCAGCAGCCGTGTAGAAGACCCCATCATTGGAAAATTGAAAAAACATATTGGTGCCAGTCTTTCAATATCGGCAGTTGGTTTAAGTCGTTCTTGGAAGACTTAGATTGGTGAAGCCTTTGGAGTCTTAGGTTCTGACGTATGTGTGAAAAGGTTTAAAAACAACGTGGAATCTGAGTGCCAAGTCCCAGTAGGTCTAACCCTAAACCCAGGATGACCTGGGGCCGTCTACCGGCCCCCAGAATTGGGAGATTCTTACAGTAATCCTTCTCTGCAGATTCTTACGATGAATGAATTCATCACTCTGCAGAGCACCACCACCACCACCACCACCACCACCACCATCCAGGCGCCCCCGCTCCGGCACCGCCGCACGGGTGTCCGCAGTGCTCGCAGCGCTCAGCGTTGCGCTCGGCACAGGCGACACTGCCGGCGCAGCGCTCAGCGTTGCGCTGCGCGTGGTGCGGAGGTCTTTGAGCTCCTGCGGCACACGAGGAGCTGGGTGGGAGAAGGAACCTGAATGGCCTGCACTGAAGTTGACTTGTCTGCCATGTGAGGTGGAGGCCAGAACTGGAGCCCATACCCGTGTTTACCGAATCGCAGTCCTGCTCTTGAGACTGCAGGGTCAATTTCAAGCGCTTGCGCTCATCTTCGGAACTGAGCAGATCTTGGCGAAGATACCTGGACCGGTGCAACCGGGCAATCCGTTGGCCGAGCATATCCATCTGGGAGAGGACTCGTCCGTGCTCCAAGGGTCCAACGACCCTATTTATATATTTGGGAAAAGAATTGGGTGTCTCAATCAGGAGATGATACCATCTGATACCTCCATACACCAGCGAGGCCATATAGTTTGATATCTCCGTACAAAGGAACAGGAGTTTTGAGTTTTTACCCTGAGATGTTTGTTCAGCTTGTCCCGTAAAAAACAAAAACAAAGCAACACGAACAAATCTCTTGGATCACGGTTCACGGAATTGATTCCTAGGCAGGGTACCTCTTGGTGCCCAGCTGCAGGCACAACCCACAGTTTTAACTTAACATCAACTCCAAGTTGCTGCAACTGCTCGTTGGCACGTTCCAATTCCATGTTCTTCTGCTTCTGGCTGGAGGCCACATTCTGCGGTGCACCTTTGTCCTGGCTGTTTCTGGCAGAAACTTGAGAGCCGACCTGCTAGACCATGCAAGGGGTGCTGTAGGGCAGTCCATCGCTGATCACTTGGATGGTCAACGCCACGTGTAGCTCTTGGCGCCAGTTTCATCTGGTGCTTCTTGTCAAGGCTCTGAAGTCATCACACAAATGAGCATGCCATGACACCAAAAAACAACATCAGTTTCCCCATCTCCCAATCCATGATGTGAACTGCCCGATGCAAAAACATAGAAGTACAAAAGGTTCATTTGCTCTCATTTGCTGCAGTTCCTTCCAAAAGACTCAAGGACTGGAGATATCCCATTTGTGGCTTTGTCTTGGCTTTGCATCATTTGGACCGGCGGCTCTCGTCCCGTCCCCAGCCGTCCCTCGTAACTCCTTGGCTGCTGCTAGCTCCTTGGTGGATGCGTCAGGTTGATGATCCCACACGCACCGCGACTGATAGCCACTAATATAATAGGACGGGTGGTACTTGTTCAAAGGTGGAGCGTATAGACCACATCCGGTTGTGCAACGAAGTGCCAAGAATTTGACTGCCTTGTTCTTCAGTGGCTCCGAATTTCTGGTCATCAAGCTAGCAACTACAAAACCATATAACTATCTGGCAAAATATAGAAATTCCAATAACGCTCATTCAGAACTTTGTGGCCGCCAACAAAAAACGGAACTTACAACAAGCCATCAAGGTTACCTTATCAAGGTTGGAAACTACAGTGATTCAGGAGGATGACACTGACACTGTGGGCCAGACCTTGCCTTGTGTGTTCCCATCTAACCCATCCGATGCACATCTAACCAATCCATTGCACCGGCTGAATTCGCCGTGCGGAATCAGCACCGTAGGAGTCGAGCTCGTGTGGCTCGTGTGGCTTGTAGCTCGTGTGCCCGCCCCGTAGCCACAACGGTTGGTCTATGTCGACCTGGAGACCGTAGAGGCATAGAGTGTGAAGGAACTTGGAACTGCAACCACATGATCTGCGGTGGGATCCCAGTTAGTGCCAATGTGTCCCCAAGCTGAAAGAACACTCCCAGAGCTTCCTTTGCACTCAAACTCCCAAGTTGTCACTTGTCCGAAACCAATCAAACGGAGAAGTTCTGTCAAACTCAGCGGTCTGTGACCGTCAGATTCCTTTTATTCTAGGACCAAAGACGTGTCGATCAAAGTCATTCAGTTCCAACTTGTAACTCTCGAAGTCAACCTCCAGTGGAAACAGGACCTCATGTGAACTGCAAAGTATACCTCGTGTGAACTACCACTCTACATAAGCACGGGAAACATCCAACACCAGTGCTTTCCCTAGAAACCGAAACCTCAACTGGCAAAATCACACTCACACGAACGCACGAACACCAACCCGCCCCAAATCCTACAAACCCTGGCACTCCAACTTCCGCCCGCCTGCCATATCCGGCCATGCAACCGCCACTGAAACAACCGAGCGTCGTTTGCGAGGCGCGTGTTCTCCCGTTCCATCTGCTGCAAGCGTCCCCGGAGCACCGTGACCTCCGCCACCTGGCGACCGAACGTATGGAGACCTTCACCCCGACGCACGGTGGACACAAGGACGGAGGCCAGGCGACGGGTTTTCGTTGGGCGGTTCAGATTCCAGCGTGAAGAGACAAAGACTGAGAGCTGGCTCTCCACGATTGTGACCTCCTTGCAAGACTTCGGCTACCTCGACTTTCTGTCATATAAACCAAGAAGAAGCTAGTGGGCACAAATCCACAGAAAGCTATGCAAAGGCAACAAGGATTAATACATACCAGGAAATATTGGTCAATGTCTATGTCATGTTCCTCTCTCTTGCAGAGTGCCCAGGCTGGTCGCCACCGGTTTCCCGGTTTTCTCCGTTCGGATCGCCAACGGGTGAAGCGCCAGCCTCAGCCCAACCACCCTGTCAGGCCCGCACCTTGTTGGCCAATTCCTCGTTGCCCTGTCCGAGTGCCCAAGTGCCATCTTCAAACCCATACGAAACCCGTCCGCGGATACGGATGCTGAAACGTGCCCGACTCCGATTCTGAAGCCGCTTCTAAAGCGATGTTCCAAGTTGTCCGGTTGATTGAAACACATTCTAACGAAAAACACACACCAACAACAAATCTGGGATGGAATCTGCACTCTACTCTGGCAAACGAGCCAGGCTACAAATGAACACGCAAGAATACTCCAGGGAGTGGTTGTTTTATGAGGCTTTATGGTGTCCTTCGTTTCTGAGCGATATTTTTACTATATTTGTTGTTTAGAGTTCCTTCCTCCCAGGCGCATGGCTAGGGCGAGTCTGGTCTCTCGTCTCTCCTTTAGCTCAGATCCGCCGCCGTTTCGTCTCTGGGAATGGATCCGTGAGTACACCCCATTCGCATGGGTGTGTATGTACATAGGGATACCGCCGCAAAGACCACATAAAAGGAGAATAGACCAGGTCCCCATGGGTGGGCAGGTTGCGCTATTGAAGTACAAACTCATATCCGCAGTAGACCACAACCCAAAAATCCGAGTCACCAAGAGCTCAAGGCCTTTTGGGTGGACCCTGGGTCACGCCTGTGGCGAGACGACCTTGAAGCACGGCCGGAGCGGCAGTCAACCCAACCCGCCAGGAGCGGCAGGCCAAGCAGTGGGAGTCGAAGTCGAAACAGGAAGAAGAACGAGGAGGAGATAGCTCCAGGTTTCTTTGCTCACCCGTGCCGGTGAATTGCAGGGTTTCCACCACTGAACTTGTGTCATGGATCAACTGAAGCTCCTGGAACCATGCAAAGGCCACACTGCCGTCCCCAAGGACTTGTAAAATTAATAACTATATGCTCAATCACTTTCTGGAAGTCCAGTCTCACCGATATTCACCTACTGTTTCCACCTTGGTGGATAGTTCCAGCTAGAGGAAGGACTCTTAAGTCTTACAGTAGATCTTCTGCTCTGGGCAGCCAAAGAACCATCGAACGCGCCCTGAAGCTTCTAGGACGCCCTGCTTGCCATGCAGTGGACGGACTAGAACCATTCCCTGGCCAAGTCGGGAAGAATCAGCCCGAAAAAGCAAAGACTAGGAGTGCGGAGTGACAGCTTTGCTGGTTTGGGCCAGCTTTGCTGGTGCTTGGAAACCGAAAAGAAAGACAATGGCCCGGATTCCAGAGGTCGTTCGAAGTTCTTTTACCTTTTAACCCCTGAGGTTTGAGTTGGATCCCTATATCATGCTCCTATAATATAGGGAGTGTTAGCCCCACCAACTTCATAGGCAAATACGACGAAGGGCTGTTTACCACCACGACGATTGGCTCGATGCTTGGACTCAGAAATTGCCCACCATCCATCATCACGCCACACGTTCAGCGCCCACATCAATGGGTGCCTCCGCAGGCTCCAGTGCCAAAGGAGCCATACTGTTGTAAGGAGCCCACTGACTGACCAGGATGACCTGGTCGGGGGGAACCACCTCGATCATGTCAGGAGTCAGGTTGGACTTTGGTTCATTACACTCAGCTCCAAAAACAAAAACGTCCATACTACGCCTATAATGCCATGCTTGACCTGAAGAGATCAGTACACTGCATAACATTCCCATCAGCAACTAGTTGCTGATGGGTTGGTTTGGTGCACCTGGGCACACCATGACCCGGCAAAGGTTTCATTGCCTAGTGTTGCAGTACCCTTTTCAGGATGGATTTGGGTTCCCTCGAGAAGTACGATTGCTTGGTGTGATGCCGCTGGGAGGACCCCGATCCGCTGGTCGACCAACGGGCATATGAGGCTTCCCATTGTTCCCGGTCAGGTGGTGCCAAAGATCTAACCACTATTATAGTAACCACTTCTAATTTATACAATTGATAATATACTACAGTAAATACTCTATACAAAATTATCTAGTGCATGGAACTCCTTTTCACGATTCTTGACCAATCATTGCCTGAGACCATGTTGCCCTTTATGCTACAACTCGAGTTGCCGCTGGATACGATCACATCCTCGGTTGCACGCCATCGCTCGCCAAACCTCCTCCAGGTTGTCCCGGGTACATTGGTAGTGCTTTCACCAGAGTGGACACATCTCGGGGTGCATCGACTCCAAGGTCAGCTTTTCAAAGCTTAGTGGTCAGTAGTGGTCCCCAAATGTATATAGAAATGATATCCAATTCAAGGTAGAAGTTCTATAGCGCTCTATCGTGTTCTTCTTTTGTAGGGCATGAGAGGCGGTATATGACTTGCGTAGCCAAAGCATCTAGAATGGGTGCCGTCGTTGGCGGGATCCATGGCCTTTGTTGAAAGTTTATCTTGCAACTTGAAACTGCCATAAACTGCCTGTATTTTACAAGTCTCAACATGTCTTGGACCAAGGAATGAAACATCTGATTGAACGTGGCATCTGATTCAGCTGCACGTGGAAATTCCAGCAAGAGCCATAACGATGTGTTCAGGTTCGAAGAAGGGCAGCGACTTCGCTGACGCAAATATGATCCGATACCTTATTCAAAATTGTTCCATTCCTTGCCAAGATACCTTATTCAAAATTGTTCCATTCCTTGCCAAGAAAGAAGGATTGTGCTGGATCTGACCCTTTTGTGGTGAAGGGTTAATTGCTAAATGAAACAACTGAATTACATACACTAGTTACACGCCCCAAAAACAAACCATCATGCAATCATGCAGGTGGAAGAAAACTATATTGAAGAAACTGATCTTTCTGGACTTCATGTTCTACTTACTAGGGGCAGCAAGCACCTTCACCATGCTATCTAAGAGGCTATGAGATTCATGTGATCGTCACGCCAAAGCCTCTGGCCGAGACCGTTTTCGGATCAAGATGTGTAAGGGATGTGTGGATGTAACGGATGTGTGTCTAAACCGAAACCTGTTTTATCCTGTCTTCCAACCTGTGCCAGACTCACCGTCTTCCAGCAGCATCTGAAGCTCTTGCCCTGAAACCACGAAACCAAACCGCGAAACCAGGGTTCAGTCATGTGGTTGAACCCAACATGTTGAAACCATCGCCTGCTCATGTGCAAGTAACTAGAAGCCATCCAAATCAGCCACGTATCCAACCCCCTGTGAAAACCAAACATCTGAAGCTACAAGCCGTTCGCACTGCGATGGCTCCATCACCGCCAGCCACTGATTCTTTCTTCTCGGTGCCTCTGGCTGCACTCTACATCCCTCAGCTGGAAGCTCTGTGCCAGCTCATTCGCACGCGCTGCTCCCAGCACCTGTGAGTCGGGCCGAGTGGTACGAACGATCTCTGGAGGGTACGACGGAAGCAGTCTTACAGTGATTCATACCCAGAAACTCCATGGAATATGTACCATTGCTTACCTACATTGACCCCCCCCAAAAAAAAACACCCAATGATCCCCAAGGTATGCACAGTACATATGCCATATTTTTTGTTGCGTCTAGGATAAGGATGCTTCATGTATTTTGTTGCTGCAGAAACTCTATTTGGCATAGGCAAAACATGGACTCTTCCGGTGGGGACGTTCCAAAGACATCGCAAAGCGCCCCCCCAACCGCCGCGAGCCGAAGGTCAAACAGGGACCGGTCAGAGCGGTGATTGAACTGGCATATCTTCCAGTTCCATGCAGTCTGGGACTCTTCGCTCGATGTGGATGTGGGTCAAAATAGAAGACCCTGACATCCTGCATGTCGAACTGGTCATGTTCTCAATTGACCTTGGAGCTTTGGAGGAACCCCATTTTGGAGCCATGACCACACTACAGTAAGGGAAATTACCGCACAGTGCCACGCAGCTCCAGAGAACATGTGTTCCGTTTCAGCAGTTCTCCCAAGAGGTGACGGTCATCCATTCGAAGCACAACCTTCTCAAGTTGACGAATGATGCAGAGCCAGGAACAACAAACATTAAAGGGGGACTGGGGAACTCACACAGTTCGGAACATGTTTCAAACATAATACATAATTTAACATCGTCACATAAATATATAATAAATAATATATATATATATATTGGGTCTATCCTATTACCTGTAACAGTGGATGATGATGGTTAGGCTGCAGGCCTTGTTCAAAAATGATGATCTATTGTTTACTAACTGTTACAGGTAATAGAACAGACCCTATACATATAAATGTAATCCATTACCCGATCAGCAAACCCAGCCGATGATCCTGGCCTGTTCCAGCTTCTTGAGAAAACGATCGTCCTCAGCGGTCAGTTGGTCGTCTCAGCGCAATCGTGTTGGGACCATGGACGAGATCCACGGGGTCATGGAGCAGCTCATGGCGGTTCTCCTACACTGGATTTGCCAATTGACCAAAACAATACCAAAACCTATGGGTTGGGGATCTCCCCATCAAAATACGACACGAATAATCGGAGTGAAAACCACCTGATGCAAACAAAGAGAATGACCAGGATTGCTATGTCATCTATGATCATGGACTAGCTCGGTGGCTCGGAACACCACCTGTGCATATTGCATTCAAGTCATACACCCATACGGCTTCCTGGCCCACCATTAAATTAAAGGGATTCACTGAACCAACTAAGGGTTTTACACTACAAAACCGGGTCAACCATTGTTTTAATGGTCGAACGGGGGTCTATGGATACATCTGCCTCCATTTCGGGTTGTGGCCCAAGACAAATGCCTGGAACTGCCACAACATGCCACAAGCATCCCCAGGATGGGCTTGAAAAATCAAAGACACTCCCTGGAACTTATATATATATACATGGAAGTGGAAGTGAAAAAACAAAACACATGTAAGACCATGAAATCCTCTACAACTAGGGTCTCGCCTTTTGTATCGTGTCAAGGCTCTGGGACCGAGATGGGTGTCGATGTGTATCTATAGGTATTTATCAGGGAGACCCCATGGCCCTGGCTGGGTAGACTGGCTTATTTTCTGAACCTTCCTGGGCGTCGTTGCCCCGGAGGTCTCCCTATTTACAAGACACCTGTCAGAAGGAATGTTCGGAACCCTGCTGGACAAAAATGTTCACCTGGTCGGAACGCAGCAGAACCAGGTCGTTGTTCGTCCGGCCTTCTTTGTGCCTCTTAGCCTTCCAGCTCCACCAAAGATTGAACGTTGGCCACTGGTTTGGACCAAATGATGAGGTCAGTGCCTGGAATTGTTCTTGCACATGTGTCTGTGCCGCATGGAAGAGCTTAAGAAGGTTCAAGGCACCTAAGAAGTTCATTCGCCGAGGTCTTTTCTCTGTATTTGATGACCCCACCAGGTCTTGTGCGAGTGAGAAACGATCTACAGTAAAACAAGGAGCAAGTTAGCAAGCCAGCACTCAACAAATCACATGTCAACCACATTCATTCCACACTCGCCGTAAAAGCCAGGTCCAATGGCAAAATTCACCACAACCTCAATCATATCCAACACTCAGAACATCTAAGAACCACATTCACCGGGAAAAACACTGAGACCGGCCCCAGGGTGCCCCAAGATGGTTCTCCCGGTTGCCAAGATTCTGGCTGCAACCCTTGCTGCAGTAGCCCTCGCACTGCTGCTTCGGCTTCACCTGGGTAGACCGCCGAAGGTGAAGGTGAACAACAAAAATAGAACAAACATGGGACCATGGTCTGATGTGTTTGGGACTATATGTCCTATTATATGTCATGGAACCAACATGGGACCCAACCAAGAAATAAAACTCCCAACCATTTGGGCCTGATGAAATATTCTATGGTTGGGAGATGTTGGGAGGGACTCAAACACAGAATGTGCATTGGAGGGTCTGACCTTCATGCGACCATGGATGGGAGGTCGGACCTCCCAAATGGAGGGCCTCCCTAGTGGATGCATTGGTTTGATATTCATCGGTTGGGAGGGCCTCCCTACATCTCACGCTCTGCCAGAAAGGGTATGGAACATCATGTTCCTTTGAGTAAGCAGTGGCTGCACCCGTAGTGCTAATGACAAGTCTCGCAAAGGCTAGTTGGAGGAATCTACGGGGTCCTGCCAAACCTTGACCATCAATGGCTAAAGACCAATCAATCACCACATCTGATTGCCCCACGCACCGCACCCATCTACACCAATCAAATCCCACCTCTGGCTATCCCACAATACGTGTTACTATCATATAGTACTACCTCTTGGGATCAGTGCAAAACTCCGCCTTACCAGAGACCCCATCTGCCAAGCTTCGTGGCCGCCGGGGTGGACCCCGACAAGCGCTCAGCGCCGCGGTCCACGTGAGGAGGTTGGGCTGGAGCGAAGCGGTGGCCAACTGACCTTGAGAGGTCCATGGTGCACGAACGGTTCAGTGGAGTGGGTGGAGTCAGTGCACCAGCTGTTTGGTATTCGGATGTAACGCCCATGGTCATGCGTTTGTTTCTTATGCCACGCCCATGCCATCCATGCCATCCATGCATTGTTTCAGGGAGTGTTGTGTTTAATTAATACTGTGTTTCTTGTTTTTTTAGATCACATCTTCACCCCCCTGACATCCCCAGCCACATGGATTGTTGAACCTCTTCAAGCTTGGGGGGGAAGAGCAATGTAATGACCCAGTCTACAAGCTTGGGAGTTTGGACACGGCGGGTCTTTGGGTCTTGACCGGACCTGGGCTAACTGGATACATGCGAAGAACATAGGATATCAATGGATATCATGTTTCTACCAGCTGCTTCCAACGGGTCACCAATGGACAACTCTACAGTACTTATAGGTCTTCAAACAGGGCACCCATTGGAAGTGCTAGGCACCATCCTGGTCTTTTGGGACAACAGTTTGGACATGACTTGACCTTCACGACTGCTCCGTCCGATGGACAGGAGCGCAACCACGAAAACGCCATCGACTAGGCAATCATGGCGTTTGTTCTCAAGTCCAACGAGAACTTCACCGCTGTGAAATCCCATCTGACTTGTGGATCATTCCTTTTCATCCCTTTGTATCCCGAAAACTAACATGGAAATGGAAGCACAATGTGCTGGTCTTCGGAAAATGCCCCCCCTCCAACAGGAGGATAGTCTTCTACTTCCACTCAGGTCCTAATCAAGGACAAGGGCATCGCTGCTAGGAGCAAGAAGCTACTAGGTGGAGGCCATCGCTATTAGGTTGGAGGCCATTCCTATTAGGTTCCTTTTGCTACTACTGTAGTAACAAGAAGCTACTAGTGGTACTCCCCATGACAAGGTCCGAGCAGCCGAAGATTTGCCGGATGCCGTCGAGGTCACCACGCTTCGCAAAGGCATTGGCCTCGACGATTTGCACGAGGAGGCGAGGTGTCCACCATGACGGTCGATCGTTGATGGTGCTGTCTTAGGGTCCATGATGGTCCATGGATGTGGTGGTCTTGATTAAACCCTCCCATTTGAATTGAACAACCTCATATGGTGGGGCTATTGATCAAGAGTCTACATTATTAAATATACCTACATAGGGTCACAAACCGCCTTGGAAACCTTGGCGGGCATTGGCATCACCACTGACCATCGTCCCAAATTGATGTAGTTGACCTTGGCCTGCTGGGTAATGGACCCGTTGTTCCACCCCGCGGACCCCGTCGCAGTGGGATGATTGCTGAGGCTGCCTCATGGATCATCCCACGGAACTCTAGACAGCAAATTGGAGGCAAAAAACTCTGGTCATTTGCCATGATGCATGTTTTTAGTTTTTCCGAAGCTTGAGGATCTACGTCTGAACTCTCACCTTGATGGCCCTGATGCCGCTTTCCCATGCCATTCGTATCACCGAGACGCCAGGGCTGTGAAGGCCACCACGTCTGGTGCCCTCAGTCTCAGGTTGGCCCCCATGAATGACAGCCCACAACCAAGAGAGGTCAAGTGACACTAAAACAGGGCCCGCAACCTGGGATACCTATGCAGGATGTAGATAATATAGTGGATAGGGTTCTTCAACCTTTGTTGGAAAATGGCCATGGTCCATATGTTTTTTTCTATGGATTTGGTGATGATTCCTGGGATTTGTCCCGGCAGTAAGCAAATTTGATCAACTTTGTTGATGGCCAATGTGTCACTCTTGGTCTGAACTCCGGACCGATTTGGCCAGGTAAAACGACATGCATGGGTGACTCACCTCCTCACCTCCCTGCTGTGCTCAGTTTCTTTTTGGGGGTTAGCTTCCCAAAAACCAAAGTTACTGCAGCTCTGACGATCGAAAGTGGTCACAACCGGGTACTCTACGCCGCATTCGCTGCAAAAAACGACTAGACCCCCTCCAGGCCCGAAAGTTGTAAACAAAGTGGCACAAGTCAAGTCTCTTGCAAGTGCTAAAAGCTTGGTCAAGGCTTTTGCAAATGCCAAGGCTATTGCAAATGTTAAGTTGCAAGTAGATAAGAAAGATTCGAGATGTCAAGACCAAGCTTGGTCAAGTCTGTCGCACATGCTAAAACTTGGTCAAGTCTCTTTGAAAGGCTAAAGTTTGGTCAAGTCTCTTGCACATGCTGAAAATTGGTCAAGTCTCTTGCAAAGGTCAAAGTTAGGTCAAGTCTCTTGCACATGCTGAAAAATGGTCAAGTCTCTTGCAAAGGTCAAAGTTTGGTCAAGTCTCATGCAAATGCTGAAAGTTGGTCAAGTTTCTTGCAGATGCCAAACCTCAAACATCAGATCTCTTGCAAATGCAAACTCCTGGCCAAGTCTCTTGCACATGCAAAAACTTGATCAAGTCTCTTGCAAGTGCTAGGCTCTTACAAGTTCTAAAGCCTGAGAAAATCTCTTAAAAGTGCTAAAGCCTTGGAGAGTTTTTAGCAAATGCTAAAACTTGATCAAGTCTACTTCCCGTACTACAGGTCTAGTACAAAATCTTCAAAGTGACCGCATCTGAGGCCACCTCACACAGAAGCTGCACTACATAATTTGCACTATAAGCTTGCCAGTTCTGAGGCCACGAGCCCGATCCTGCGAGAGGGTCGCGCAAGCACGCCGGATCCTGCGGAGACCACATCTGAGGCCACCTCACACAGAAGCTACTACATTTGTACTATATACGAGCTGGATCCTGCGAGAGGGTCCCGGAAGCATGCCGGACGCTGCTGAGACCACATCTGAGGCCACCTCACACAGAAGCCGCTTCCCGCACTACATTTGTACTACGAGCCCGATCAGGATGCCCGATAGCCGGATCCTGCGAGAGGGTCTCTCGCTACACGTTTGAGGACTCGACAGCCCGGAGCCTGCGAGATGGTCGCCCGAGCATGGATGAAATTTGCATTCAAGGATGTTCTGGAAAAGTTAGTCTTTTCACTTCTGAGTCTTTTCAGGGTTTGTGAGGCATAGGTTGGATGATAGATTGTGTTTTGGAGAACCATTGAAATCACACATGGAATCTTGGAAGTCTCCGATTCTTCCGATTGGGTCCTGAGATATGGTGAAGGGATGGTACAAACATCTGAACATGCCGTTTGTTCTCCGCAGCCATTTTCATAAAGAAGGGAAAGTGCTTTTGAGCGGTTGTGGCAATCAAGCGGCCAGCAAGTAAGAGACCTGCCGCTGGAAAGAAGGCCACAAAGCGATCATCGACCAGGACAGGGCTGGGCTCACCAGTTGGGATGTGTCAGCAAGGTACCACTTCACGTGACCTTCTTTTAATTGTTTTTTGGCTCAAGTAAACCATGTCAATTGTGAAGCCGCTGTGGGATCACCACTTTATGTTCAGTTTTTGAAGAAATCATCAGCAAACAACTTGTGCGTAAGGCTTGCTTTAAGCGATTGCTTCTATATGCAGCAGCGCAATAGAAAGCTTCAGATTCTGTGTCAGTTGGGCTGCCAGCCATGCCCAGGGGACTGAGATTGGTTGATCTCCTAGAAAGACCGTGGAGAAAACACGCTTGCAACATTTCAGGGATAGATCTGAAGCTGTGCTGAGGGAGCGGAGCGTTTCAGGCCTTATATAAAACTCGCAAGGAACCTTAGTCTCTATTGAAGAGTGTTTTTGATTTTGTTTTGGGGAGGTTGGCCTTTAACAACTTTTAACAACAACTTTTTCAATCAAATGACTAATTGGTTTAGTAACCAGCTCGGTGCAACTGAAACAAAGGAATCGTTGCTCAGACCTTGGTATAATCTCGATGTGGCACATGACTTTGATGCAGGGGCTGCAGAAGACCCTGAGCCAGAGATTTTGTGAAACTGGTTCAGAAGAAGAAGAAGCAACCGGAGGTTTGTTGCTTGAAACAACTTCAGATTCTGATGTGCCCCTTTGCCCGAGCATCAGGATGGTTCTGATGATGTGGGACAGGTGCTGCTTGAAACAGATTCTGTGCCAGCGATGAACCTGAACAGCCTGTGGCGAAGAAACGGAGGTACTTCAAAAGAACAATAAGCCAAGCTCACAAGCTAGAATTCTTGTCCATGCCAGTTTGCCGGTATGCACATACCCGGCCCCAAACTTGCTGGCTTTCCCGAACTTTGCCACATAGGTGCTTTCAAAAAAGCCAACAGATCTTGCCACCAACTCTTCGAACGAAGGCTTCCCTTTCAATTTTTCCACTTGCCCATTCTCATTGAGCAAGGGCCCAAACGCATCTTCATGAAGGGACCGCAGAACCTTCAAGTATTGCCGAATGCACTGGCAACGAGTCCTCCGATCCTGAAATGAATCTGCCGTGTAGAAGACTGCTTTGCCAATAGGCTTTTTTGCCTCATTTCAAACGCAGTCCGTGTGCTTACCCCACATAGACTTGTTCAAAAAAGTTCAAAGGTGCAAGATGAACGAAATGCGCAGAAACAGGCTATAGGTACTGTAGGTCAAGAACAAGAAACAAATACACCAGTGTAAACCCGAAATAACGATGTAATATCCACTGGTCCAACAAAGATCAACAAAGGTCTTCCAAAGTTTTGTCAGGCTTTGTCAACGCTGCGGGCCACGCAGAAAATGAGTCTGTGTCGACTTCGAACGCTACCAAAAAAAAGTTCTGCTTGAGTGTCGACCCAACAAGGACACTTCCAGGAGGTTTCAGATTTTTATTAACAAGTCCAAGGCCTTTGCATACCTCTCTAATGCGGTCACACGCGCAAACGTATATGGGATCTGGTCGAAATGTCTTCTTCCAAAAATGGCTGAAAGTCGTGTTCACATGGGGGCCCGCTACATATTCTTTTTGGCACGCGCAGCTGGTTAATGCAGGAAACATGGACCAAACAATTATTGGCGCCAAGTTGTAAGAGGCATCACTAGCGCTGCACCGTTTTCAGCTGATCTCCGAGCTTCAAGCCATGCTTGAAACAAAAGACATGTTGCAAGTCAGCCTTGGAAGGGGCTGGAATCTGGCAATGTTTGCTAGCGCGGATCTAGCGCAGTGCTAGCGCGCGGCTAGCGCATTTTTCAGCCAAGCACTTTTCAAAAACCTGACGACGTTCTGAACATGCCCTAAGGCAAACACTAGCGTCACTAGCGCAAGTCTACCGCAAACCTAGCGCCCAGCTGCAGAATAGGTTTGTTTAGCTGGGGGCCCGCTACATAATCTAATTGAAAAAACAACATCATAAGCTACTTTCGACCCCTTTATCTACTTTATTGATTATAGACTTTTGGCCGGACTCCATATATGAACAGTGTGGCGCGGAAAGCCGCAGCGTTTTCTTGGGCGGATTTGGGTGGTAAAAAATCCGTCTGCTAAAACCACGGTGTCTGGTATACATAGTATTGCGGGCCTAAACTGGATCTGCAGCCGATAGAAAACAAATAAACATATGATTATTATGATTATGTATATATGATCTTCGATACTACAATGCGGTATATACAAGTTTTGAAAAACGATGCTGCCTTCTACGATGCTCATCCCAGGATGCCGCAACTATAGCGACTGGAAATCAAAGGTGAATGAGGAAACTGGGAAGACACGGAAGGAATGGTGGCAAAGAGTGCCCCAGAATTAAAATTAAGCAGCCATCCAATGATTTCGCATCTTACACAAACTTTCATCGAAAGAACAACTTCTGATATCTTCTTCTGATCGTGGAAAATCGTGACACAAAAATGCCTATAAGACCAGGTGCAGTATCCTTCATGAGAGGCTTCCCTTTCTTGGCGTTCATTAGTGCATCCAAGACATCTGGCACAACAGTCGCCAGCACTCTGTGCCATTCCTCTTTCACAGCGACCTTTTCCGGTTTGATCTGGAACAACAAGCTATCGCTGAAAGGATCCAACTGCAACAGCGGGTTCAAGTTGGTGGTTTGGAAAATGTGGTCAGAAAGCCGGTCCAACACCACGCAATGCACTTTCACGCAGCAGGAGATGGGGGCCTTCTGGAAGAGCGGTTTTGGCTTTCCTTGAGCACGTGTGCCGGTAGACGTGGCGCGGAGCGACCCCCTGAAAGCAGCTTGAACAATGGCCAGCATAGGCTGGGACAAAGGATCTCATCTGATATTGTCTTTGACCCTCTGACATAAGACAGCTGGGGTGCACATATTGAATCTGTTCGATTGCCCCTCCGTCTGTTGTACCTCCTTTGCTTGCCACCAGGGCTGACTGCGAGAAGTTGCTCCACAATGCAAACCTGCTTTGCCTCTGACCACAGCAATCAAAAGATAGGCGAGCCTTGGCCAGTTCATGCATCATAGAGTTGTGTCTGTTCTCGCGAGGCTTCAGGCCTTCAATTTGTGCTGCCGACAAAAACCGCTCCTCTTTGCAGACACGCCGGACAAAGTCCAACATGGGGTCCATTAGCTTCTCCACCCGCTTCAAGCAGGGACGCTGTCTTTTGATGGAGGTTTCCAATCCAGCAGACCTGCAACTCTGAGAGCGTCAACGGCAGAGTGTGCAGATGAAATCTCTTCCTCGAACTTTTCCTCTGCTGGCTGCAAGGCAGGGCCCCACGCTTCTGATGTCAGGGCGTCTGAGTCACCCTTCTTCGAGCAGCCCTCATTTGCACAATCTTGTTGGGCATCCTGTTGCCAGATCGCCTTCTCCACTGCAGACAGCTGTTGTATCGCTTCTGCTTGCGATTTCTCTGCAGAAACTTTTTCAGGCTCTATTTCATCATTCTCTGCGTCGCTTTCATCTGCCGGCAAATCTTCGCCAAAAAGCGAATCTTGGCCAAAGATCCGCATCAACATCGCTAAGGATTTGTAAAACCAATCTGGGCCATTCCACACTCCAACCCAACCTTTGAAAGCATTTGATGGCCTGTATATGCCTGCTAAGAGATCACGTCAGGAATGGACGCGTGAAGCCTCTCACGACTTCTGGCCTCCACAGCCTCATGCCTGAGTCCCATTGTGGTGGTCCTGCGGCCTCACCACACTTTTCCTTGGATTCGTTGGCGCGTGCGATCGCTAGTTCCAAGATGTTCCGAGCATGGCCGAAACAGAAAGCCAATGATGGTCTATTGAGAAATGAAGGCTAAATGGAGGGTGGAGAAATGGGTCAGCGAAAATCGCATATACGAAGTTAGTGCATCAAAAATACCTTCCGCGAAGTTCTGCGAGGGTTTCTGGGATTTCGTTGCAGTCAGTTCTCCTACTGGCCCACCATTCCACGAACTGTCCACGAATAGCCTTGGGTTAAACGAATGTCCTGCGCCTTCCACGATGTTAGTAGAATAGGTTTTTGCAAAACCCTTTCTGTGCACTACCCTTCCGTTTGCCTCTGACTTCCCTCCGAGCGGCGGTGGGGTGCAGCTGCCTGGTCATGAGGCTCATCATCATCATCATCAGGCACGACGAGGCCTGTCGCTCCACACGGTGAAAAGTACGCGGTCAACAAAAAGAAACAACTCTGCATAAACAGGAAAACACTTGACCCAAAACCACACCTGCTCGTCTATTCCGGATAAAGGCCAACCTTACCCTAGGGATCGATGACTGCAAATATATGTCAGTTTTCCTGATGATAGCATCCTCGCATGGTTGTGGGTGATGACTAGAAACTAGACGACGAGTGGCCCGAAAGCATTTTTCATCACGTAGGAAGTTAGAGTGTGAGTTAAGTGTTAAGTGTTCAGTGTGAAATGTTAAGTCGAGTGTGTTGAGGCAATGTGTGGGTCTCTGTGTGTGTGTATCTATGTCCATGTGTGTATGTGTCGCTCTCTGTATGTCTTTCTGAAGCGCAGGAACACCTTTTTTCCGTTTGCCTCTGAAGAAATGCCAAGCTGCGCAGCTTGAAGGTTTGTGTGGAGCATCCGCCATGGCGGGGTTGGTTGGTATTCGTTCCTTACCTTTTGGTGTCTATTGGTGACACCTATGAGATGTGATATGGTCATTGGAAAAGTGTGGCGCTTAAATCATGGTCATTGTGCGCCGCCTGTTTCGTGACAGTGAACGCTGTCTCTGTCCTGATTCAGATTCCATAAAGCTCAACCCCGCGCCCCACGCCGCCGCGACCCCTATCAAACGGCAGCTGAAGCGGCGACATCCATGAATTAGAGAACCCTGGGACAGAAATATATTTCGAATTTCTGTGACGTACCCCCCCTCCATATTTCAACAGATAGGGAGTGGCCATATGCGAAGCATTGCGAAGCACCCTTGTGCACGAAACGCAGCGGAGATCTGCGTGATACGGGTGGGAAACTTGCTTTTTTACAATCTAGAAGTACCTCCACAAACAAATTGTACAATTGTACAATGGGTACCCCCCCCACTTGTACAATCTTAACTTGAGGTGATTTCTGGGGTGCTCCAGAAGATGCGGTCTGGTGAGCGTGGCTTCACCATGCGTGAAGGTTGACTTGGTGAACCAAAACATCAAACTACCGGGGTATCCTTGGTACGAAGGTCAACCGGAATGAAGTGGCCAAATGTTCTGGCTTTTTTCTGGCATCTTTGGATCAGCTGTGCTGAGATTTTGCCATGCCGCATCCGGCGAGCACCGGTCAAATTTGCATTTCGCTACACATTCGGGCCGAATCCTGCGAGAGGCTTGCTTCTCGCGTTCTCTCGCTTGGTCCGCCCCGGCTTTAAAGACACTGTAATTGAAAGAGCGAGATGTCAAGACAAAACTTGGTCAAGTCTCTCGCAAATGCTAAAACTTGGTCAAGTCTTTTGCAAATGCAAAAACTTGATCAAGTCTCTTGCAAGTGCTAGACTCTTACAAGTGCTAAAGCCTGAGCTAGACAAACCAAGTGCCTTTAGGAAGAGCCCTTCGACCAAGTTTTTTGGGAAGCAAGCTACAGAAAAAGAACACAGACATGGACAGAATCCCGTGGATCCGCCACGCAAGGTCTTAAAGCATCTGGTCTGGACACGCATTTGTGCATTGAATTTCTCACCCCAAGCCCGCCCATCCGCCAAGTTGCAGTGCTTGGTTTCGCATGGTGTCCAAGAGCTCTTGTGCCTTCTGCGAGTTGGCCGCTCGGGCGAAGGAGCTTAGCACCTGCCACACACGCCAGCAAAAGAGTGTGGGGATATACAGGTGACCAGCGATGACTTCTCAAAAAAGCTGAAGCCTCCTTCTTGTTGATAAAATTTGCTCGTATGAAGAACGGATGAATCAAGAAAAGCCTCAAAACACAAGGCCCTTGACATGGTCTCCGTTGCTTCGAGATATTGTGCACCCAAGTTCGTTCCTAATCGCCACAAACTCCGAAGTGCCGTCCATGTCAAAAGTGCTCAAAATGAGCAACGTGAGCAAGACATGAACAAAAACACTCTGGAGTTCCTCCAGGAAATCCGGAGATCTCTGGAGGATGTTTGAGCATCAATGCATTGAGTGGTGCAGTGAGGTTCCACATCGGGTGCAATTGATGGAACATGAGGTTCCACTGTTCGTGGGTTGGGCCGCCCAAGCACATTAGCCACTCTCCAAGAGCGATTTTGACATCAACTCCTGGTGTGTGTACAGTACCCGGTACAAACACCATATTGAACCCATGATTCCTTGTGTGATTCCTTTAACGGTTGCAAAATCATACATACCTAGCACTTCCAATGGGTGCCCTGTCTGGAGACCTATAAGTAGTGTAGGGTTGTCAATTGGTGACCGGTTGGAAGCAGCTGGTAAGTAAAGCAAAACTTTTGGGGGCCCTTATGCTTGACCTTGAATCACATGTCCGGTCTAAACTCGGTTCTTCGACTCAGCGATGGCTCGCGCACCGAAGTGTAGGTGATCTCATCAGGTTGGAGCTTCTCCTGGACATTCAAGCAGTGAGGGCTCCGAGTTTCCCTCGCAGTTCTGAACATCTGTCGACCGGAGGTCAGATTTAGAGGCCTAGCATGAGGTGAGGGTCTTAAAGCTAGCATGGCATCATGGGTCGCAAGATCTCTAGGTATTGCCGTTTCGCTCACTGCATTCGGGAGAAGCACTGCAACCAAACACGCATAGATCGGCCGCAGGGTTGGTGTGTTCCCAGTGGAAGGGAATGACCCTCGGCCTGCAGCAAAAAGGCAAACACAATCTGTGGCTGTCGAGGTTAAACCCATCCAAGTCTGGCAGGGGGACACTATATAGCTCCTGTGTCACCGAGCCGGTCGTGCTGTTTGTTCTGTGGGTCCAAGCATGGCATGTAGCTGTCGCACTAAGGTAAAAAGGATCTCAACAAGAAAGTAGTGTCGCGGCAGCGGGTATTTTTACATATGTTCAACATGTTTCTTATATCCACACTGTAATGCCACAACAACGCTCTCCATAGCTTGCTATTATACTATATTGGTTGGTTGAGTTATCAACACGGTCGTGTACCGGACATGTCATGAATCGGCAGACATGATGCCTCCAAGGCCAGGGTGTCTCCTCCACCATCTTCTGCAAGTACCTTTCCGCTCCAGTAGGATCATTGTTGCGGGAGAAGCTGTCGATCACGTTGGTATACCTGGTCGGCACTGTGGTCGGCATGACGGAACTCTGCTTTTCCCGGAAGACATGACGGAACTCTGCTAAGCTACTTCCTCCCTCGGTTTTCCCAGAAATTGCAGGTCAGAGTTTTCAAAGTTGTTTCCATTCTGCCTGCGACCAAACATAATCTATTGAGGTAAGACCTCGAAAGCCACAGGACCAAGCCGAATGTGAGACCAGTTACTTCGTTCCCCTCCCTGCCGATCTGTCAAACCACCACCTCGTGCCGTCAAGGCGAGCAGGTGGATTCTGGGCTTGAGTTCGATTGACTTCACGTTGAAAACCCCACGCACGAGTGAAAAGCAACAGGTTTGTGGGTAAACATCACCTGAACCCGGACACGAGAAGTCCCTTGAAGGTTCAATCGCACTGGAAACCATTGAACGTCAAAAATCTGACAAAGTCCACACAGGCCCCCAAGTTGACTCATGACAACAGCAAGCCAAGCTCCAAAAGCACAAAAAACATGACAACTTACAATGAAATGAATAGAGGTCAACTTTCCTTTAAGTCATTGGAACTTCCCAAAGCAGCATAAACAAGATTTCACATCTCAACCTGCCAGGCACCAGCCTAATGTAGCCTCTCTGGCTGCCCAGCGACGAGATCTCGTCGGGTGCCAGCTGCAGCGTGTCCATGCGATGCAGCCAACGCTCCGCCTCGCCGGGACGCGGTGTTGGACGCGCCTTCGCACAGCTGTGCAGGAGCGCATTGCCTCAGCAGGGAGGTGGGTGTTTTTCCTGATGTTTGTTGCTTTTCCCTGGACAAAAAGGGAGAAGCAAAAGCAAAACAGGCATCGCTACTTACTAGGAGCATTCTTACTACTAGTAATAAGAAGCTACTAGGGGCTCCTGGCCTTACTGCTAGGAGCAAGGACGCTACTAGGGGCTCCATATATGTTGGTCCGATTTGTCTCTTTTCAAGAACACAATCATTCATGATTCATCATGTCATTAGTACGCTGTGCTACGCTTTTTCTTGGTACTGTAAGGTCCTGCTTCTGTTCCTACGTCACTCAACGGTCGGTTCCTGACATCCATGGCGATTTTTCAAGCGCCCTGAGGCCCCCAGACATGAAATCACATCCTCGGCATGTGGAGGATCTGATAGTTGAGTGCACAAGATAAAAGCTGCGACGAAGCAAACATCAAATATCAGAGTGTATCAAGTAGAGTAGATTCTATAAATTTCTATGATCTTGGGGCCTCACACCAAGTTTCCCTCTTTTTGTCTCAGGATCAGTGGGTTAAAGTAAAATATTGCAAATGTTTTGTGTATTGGTTAGAGATGGTTAAAGCACCAAATGATCCAGGGAACCCTGATTGTGAAGAACATGATGTTGGGATGATGTCATGGTTCCCTGCCCTCAGTGGATGACAATAGCTTAGCGGCTAGCGTGTAGCAAATGTCAATAAACGTGACACGCAAAAAAGCTGGCAAAGGAGACACGATCCAAGTTCCCAGCAAACAGAACCTCTCGTGCCACCACATCTGCGATACTATCTGCGATCTTAGGCGGGACTGTGGACTGCTTGGCCCTTTGACGGCTCACTCAGGCGCCACAAAGACATTCATCAACTGCCCAAGGTGATACATATGTCCAAATACTCCAAAAGATTATCCGAGGTAATTCTAACGTACTGCCAAAAATTGCCAAGTATTCCAAATGTGTCCAAATGTTGTAAATGGTCGGCTTGCGCAGAGCGCCCATGCCCAAGGTGTCCTACATGACCACGTTTTTTTTTCATGACCCGGACCCACATCTAAGACTTGCACGGGCGAAATCTGGGAGGTCAGCATCTTTTCAAACCATTCCGCGGCCTGGGCACTTCGGTGCGTTTCGGCGCGACCGTTCGACTGTACATCCTGAGGGGTTGATCGAGGCGTCAAAGCTTTGACCCATCCGAAGTCGGGCTGTTTTGCAGGGCTCAAACAAAGCGCGGATCAATCCAAGGATCAGGAACAAACACAGCGAGCGAGCGACAACACAGAACAGGCCACATGCAAAATTCACCAGCAAAGTGGGCCCTACAAGCTTTTTGGCCGTAAAAGGTGAACCCAAAGCTACCGATCGTTCGCATGTTCGGAGCCTCTTCCCTGGTCCATGCACAAAGATATTTGGAGGGTGGTCACACAATGGCCTCATCTTTAAAGCAGTGGTTCTGGTTTGGCAGTGTTATGCACTTGTGGTACAAGCAATGAAAAGGGATCAGTTCCACTTCAAAAGTCTTTATTTTTTTTCCAGCCATACCTCGCGCCGACCTGGTCCGGACGGGCTTATTGCAAGGCGTTGGCACAGCCAAAGAACGGTAATTAAAAATCTCTGTTCAATGCGGCTGCATATATTCTTGCATCATCGGTGTTTTCATCGAAATTATGATGTCTCAAAACGTTTTCGTATGCAAATTTCTTTGTGATATGCAGCCAGTTTTGCCTCGGTTTCCCAACTCGTTTGGTGCCGTAATCAACTCTGGATGCAGTGCTATCAACTCTGGTGCAGTCATTCAAAAGTCTTTAAGAGTGGATAATTCCAATCCCTTCCACTTTACCTCATTTATCTTCAGTACTGCAGCACAGGACAATTTGAGATCAAGTCCCTCTGACGCGGGGGGGTTCCAAAAATGATCAAAACATTGAACCAATGTGAAGCGAACCTATACTCACTCCTTGCAACCCTCCGTGGGTTCCGGCGCCCCAATCACCTCCCCGACCGATCGGATTCCTCGGATCCGGCCCAGACGATACGGCCGGATCGGGGCCTTCTCCAAACGTCCTCGGGTGGCGAAACCGTTCAACATGAGGTTGTAGGTCACCAGGGTCGGCGCCTCATACGGTCTATGCCGGAGGTAAGAAGGTAAGGGGGGAAGAGGTGAGTATGAGGGTTTTGGATGTCAACCGGGTTGGATGGGGTGATCTTGGATTTGAATTTGATGCATCTTGGCTGCGGAAACCATGTAAATGCCATGCAGTTGTAGTACTATAATTATGTCGATCTATACATCACAAATACTGAAAACAAAAACACCGTGGAAGACTAAGACTTGCTGCAGAAGCCTTAAAAGGGTTCCACACACCATTGTCGATGGGACCCTTCTTTCGGCCAAAGGTCAACTTATGTCGCCAGCTTCGATCGATGGCGGTAGCCGCTAGGGCATATCCCATTACCAGGTTTCAGTGCATGATGATGGTTAGGTTGCAGGAGTTTCTCCAATAGCGATAATCTTTTACTGACTCTTACAGGTTTACTGGGACACACCCTACATATCACGTGATTTTTGAGACCCCCAAGCTGAGGGAGCTGCAATCTGGTCGTCCACCATCTTGTGGAACCAGTCCTGTGCGAGTGACGTGCCCACAAGCCATATCCACCGAATGGATTTCGTTGGCTCCCAACGAACTGACAAGAAGCAGAACACTGACCAGAATGGGTAACACGCTGGTTTCAATGCAGGAGATCCAAGCAAACGAACAAATTCTGAAGGCTGTAAGACGGTTACAATCAAATTTGTCCATTCGTCGAGCATGTTCAAAGGTCATACCAAGGAGCAGGGCAAATACTGTTGACCACGTAAGGGTAATGATCGAACTAGCATTCAATCAAGTGGAGCAAGTGTCGGCCAGCAAGGATGTCAAGTATCCATGACATGCCAGCGCACCCAAACCCGGCGTTCCAACAGACGCGGGCCCCGCAATCAGCAGCGGGTCCCTGTGTTGGGGGCGGAACGGCATCTACAAAAAAGAAACATCTACTGAACATGTTGAACAAAAGCATACAAAAACCTTGGAATGAGTGGGAACTACCCCCCGAAATGTGCAACAAACTTTCAGATTGAATGTCCTCTCCAGCATCGAATCAGTTTGCATTGAGTCACTTCAAACAACATGAGCTCAAAGGAACACAGTTTGATGTTGGTTTGTCACCTGATTATTGGCCACGTGACCCGTGACCCCCAGGCAAAACCCGCTGGGTCGTCGTCTGCAGGAATTTGCCAAACAAACCCAAATGCGTGTTGTTGTCCAAATCATCAACAAACCACGAAGTCTGTGTTCCACACAGCCCAATTCCACCGTTTCACCCTGAGAAACCTCTACTTGCATGTCTTGCCTCTGTGCCTTTAAGCACCTGGTACAAGGCCGTTTAGCACACTGGATCCACCGAGCGGTCTCAGACACGGACGGTCGACCCGGAATCCGAGTGCTGGGCCGACGCAAACACGACCCCATCGTTTGACTCCCAGCTTCCATCTCAACGATATCCTTTAGTGACAGGATGTATATACAGTATTCAATTATACAAATTGCTGGTGTACTTGAGGAAATTCCCCCAATTCATCAACCATCCAAGGCCAAACAGGCCAAACCACCTAGACTACCACCTAGACCTCCGTCGACCTCCTCTACACCCAGCGGCTTTCCTGGGCCGAGCGCAGCGAGCCGCGGCCCCTCAGCTTGGCGTCCAAGACCGCGCTGTAAGAGACCACGTCCAAAGAAATGGGAGATCCCGCCTTCGACGGATTGCGCGCAACGAGGCGAAGAGACCTTGCGCGCCGTAACTTGTTTGGGGCCTTTTCCGAAGAGGGCACCCCCTGGCCTTTGCCGTTGAAGGGACATTGAATGAGGTTGGAATGATTGGTTAACGACTATATATGTAGAATCAAAAAGTATATCAATACTTTGATGATTGTCTGACCATTGGCATAAGATTGAATCACAATGGTAGTTTTTTGCAGCATGAAAGCCGATCGCCGCGAGGATGTGCCTCACTTGGTCGAACCTTCTGTCGGACCTGTGAATTTCAGGGTGCTGAGTGAAGTAAGAATCACGCAGCCAGGGGGCGCAGGTAGCGGAACTTGACAAGTGAACCGAGAATCTGGAGATCCCCGGCATTGAAAGGCGCAGAAGGAACATGTTGGAGAACAGCTTCGGCCTCAACAAGCTAGTTTTCACATGAATCCAACTTGGACCAGTTCTGCACATGCTACTCGTCGGACGTTTCAAAAAACGGGTTCCGAAACAACGTGTGACCCTTGGTGTGACCGGAGGAGGTTCTGTGTTCTTTCTTTTTTCGGAGGTATTGACTTGTAAGAATATGACAATACGACAATACCCCCAGGGCCGTTCCATGTAGGCAAATATATGCCAGTCCCGTGGAGTGTCGACATGGATACGAAGATGACCGACTTGTAAGAATATGACAATACCCCCAATCGTTCCGTTCCATGTAGGCATGTAGATCATGTAGGATGCCAGTGAGTGTCGAGGGTCGATCACGTGACCGGAGATGGTTCCTACTCACTGTCTGTGGATGTTGTCCGCTTACTGGTTACTGTAACCCGGGAAGAGGGCTGTTAGTGGATGGCAAAGGGATGTCCAAAACCTACTACTCACTGTCTGTGGATGTTGTCCGCTATAAGAACCACCCACCCCCAAGTTTGGGTCTACATCCCTCAGCCTCGACCCCGCCCTCAGCATCCTCGGGCTGCGATCTCCGCTCCTTCTCGATCTCTCGCATCGTCTCCATGGCACCCTCGGCGTCCCCCAAACGCGCCTGACGCGAATTCCACTCGGAACCAGCGGGAAGACGGACCCGCTCGCCGGGGCGCCCAGTTCTGAGCGCCGATGTTCCGCTTTCGGAAACACCGATTCCGAATTACCGATTCCGCCTGGATGAAGCAACAAGGAGCATCAAAGAGCAAGCTATGCCTAGCTATAAACGGCTTTGCGGAATCCTCCACACGTGGTTCTCTTCTGAAAAAAAATACTAGGGTCACAAGATTTGACCAAAGGCCCAAAGGTTCCAGGATCCCAGGTATACCAGGTACCATTCTGTACCGCCGCTCTCTTCGAGCCCGATCTTCAACTCCAAAGCCAAGCCGACAGGTTGCCTCACTTCAGTCAGAACCGGTCACGTGCTGATCATCCGGGATGGACGTTCCGAAAACGGGTTTGACATGGTTCGACCATTGAGAAGTCCATGGTTGGTGGAACCTGACGGAAGAACTGCGTGTTGCGCCCTGGAACCCCGCGGCACCCCGCGACGCCGTGGCGCCTGTGCGTCTAAGAGTGTGGTGGAGGAAATACGGTCCTCGGCATTGGGCGAATCGAGAAAGAGAAGATTTGGACAATGACAATCAGAAACCATTCTGCCAAGCCTCACAATTGCCAAGAATGGAACTACTAATACATTCAAAGCCCCCACTGGCTTGAACAGGGTGACCTCTTTACCTGGAAAAAGGCCAAGAGGACTGCCAAGAGGCAAAGCATGGGAAGAAGCCTTCCTGGTCATGCTGAACCTTCTCCCCTGGTGCGAAGAAGGCATGCGCACACTTCCTTGTTGTGGGGACGGGAAACACAGCCTGTAGCTCCGACCGGCGCCCGTCGTTGAGCTGGCGAAGAACTGGATACCCCTCAGTCGCTCAAAGGCCCGCACCAGTGGCACGCCAGCCTCTTGGCTCCGGCGGTGCCAGGCTAGCACAGCGGCGGCCTCGGCTGCAGGTGGTTGCATGGTTTGAGGTACCTAAATACCAGCCAAAAAGCTCTCCTGTGGAGGGTTGAAAAGCATTCAATTGGCGAGCTGTGAAGTCGGGTGGAATACATCACTGTCCAAACCACATCACCATCACCTCCCGGGCGCCAGGGTCTAGAAATCCATCTTGCCTGGTACCGGAGCTGGCATATGTACTGATCAGTTGGAGTGGTTTCAGGGGTCAACATGGACGTATATATATATATTATATATACACACATTTCTCTGATTGAATCTTCTTTTTACCTGGGGTGTTACAGTATATATTGTGTAATAAGTGTATATGTTTGAGATACGCAATGCAAACCAACGGCGCCCAGGTGAAAACTCTGGTGAAAACACCAAGACGCATCACCTGCTTTCGCGTGGCCATCCATGATGGCGGTAAAGGACCGTGCCTGGAACAGCTAAAAGGAGAAAGGGACGATTGAACCAAGTCAGAGGGAATGAGTTCTGACTTATTCTTTTCTAGACTGTATGGAGGGAATTTGCATCTCACTAAAGGGTCCAGCATGCATCGCAAAATAGTTGGAAACTTATGCGTTTGAACATGTGAAAGGCATGATATCGAGTAGTTCTTTGCTGTTTTCAAATATGGTTTCAAGTATGTTTAACTGAGAGTGTTCGATCAGAATCCACCACAAAGTCATAGACACTGCTTGGAGGTTCTGAGGCCAAAGGACGATGTGAGGACGGGGACTGTCCTACCCTGTCCACGATCTGTCCTACCAAAACAAAAAATGGAGGGGAAACACCATCTCAGAGCTTCCAATATCATCCTTGCCCAACTGTGTTTGACCTCAAACTCAGGGCCATCCTTCTTGGAGATGCCAACAGATTGTGTTTCGACTTCTGGTCCACCAGTTCCCTGCCCTTGCCCATCACTGCGGATCTTGGGCAAACCCTTGGGCCGTTGTGGTGGCTGAGCACAGCACATTGGGCACCAGCTGCGCTCCGATCATCTCCTTTCGCCGGTGCAGGCGGATGCTCCGTTCATGCCGGGGGGATGCCCCTGCGCAGGCGCTTGTACTTTCTGAGAAGCGGCCGGTGGGCCCATCCAAGAGAGGGGGACCTCTGGAACCCTTCAGGTGGTCTTCCCGGTCTTCCCCACTACAGACCACATGTCGGATGGCTGCACATCTATGCTATATTATGCCAAACACTCCATGGGACTGCCATATATGCCTACATTGACCCCCCAAAACCACCCCAACTGGTTTGCATATATGGCATACATGGAGTGTCTGGATCTCGATTGATGTTCGCTCGACGCCACGATGCCGCCAAAGTTGCGTTCAGCCAGCGCGTGGCGCGGTGCGGTTGCGCGGCTTTGGCGCAGCTGTCAATCAGCGCCGTGTAACACCTGGGAACGCCATGTCCAAAGACAAGAAGAACAAGTTGGCGAGGGACAGTGAACTTGAGGATTTCCAAGTCACTCAGGTTGTAAAAGGCAAATAGATTTAGAGACTCTTAGACTGGTACAACATCATCGTAAGACTAGGAGATCCAATTGCTTTGATCGGCAAATGGATTTGAGTCCTTGAGCGAATGATGGAATGACTGACCCCAACTGACCGTCTACAGGAATCTTCGGGTGACATATCGACCCAAAAAAAAAGGATCCTCCCCTCTACCGTCTCAGCACTTGCGACTAAGCCGACGAATGAGGCCGACTGGTTCCGTTTCACGCGCCCGGTGACATGACGTCAGGCACCACTTGGAGCTCACACAGCTCCTGCAGCACCTGTGCATCAGAAAAAGCAACACCAAAGCTAACAGCTGGCTTGACCAAGTGCGCCTATGGGGTGAGTTGCAGTCTGTACAGGAAGTTTGGCTTTTTCTTCCAGGATGTTTGCTGAAAAGCAAAGACCAGGTATAGGTCATAGCGTCAAAATCAAGACTCTCAGTTCTGATATTTCAAGCTGGGTGGTGGTAAGTTATATGGAAATCCCTTGTGTCAATCTCGGGTGCCACACAACATCTGTGAACAAACGCGGTCTGTATAGAGACCCTTGCGATGTCTCTGAACATGGGTGAAACACAAAAATGGGACTCGCGTGACGGAACGGTCGGAAAAAACGCACCCGCACCCCAGGCAACACAAGGCACCGGACGGCTTTGACGACAAATCGGCAACACGCAGAGGTCAATCGTCGACAAGTCTCAAATGACCCAGATCAGTTGGCGACGTCGCCGACTAGCATGACACATGGTGTTGATCCTCTGTGTTTCCGAAACCAACACGCTGCACGCGTTGGGTGTTTCTTCTCTCGGCTTGGCACCTCTTCAGCCAGGTCAGGCTCAGCCGCTTTGGCACAAGCATCCATGAGGATGCTGTACCTCACCAAGGACATAGGTCATTGATCAGGAGAAAAAAAACACACAAAGCAGAAGATGGACCGCAGCTTTTTTTGGAGGGCAAAAAGTGGGCCCCGAGGTCCTTTTCTAGCAATTCTGTCGCGGAAAGGCCAATCATTGCCGTTTGAAGACTTATGGGCCATGGTATGCCATGTTCATCTGGTCCTGGCTGTTTGTGAATTTCGCCCGTCTCGCCCAACGAAACCCTGTGAGTTCGCCCCCGAGAACGACATGGAACATACACTCGTTCAGCGGAGCTGCACCTCTTTCTCACTGCCCAAGAATCTCCAGCGGCGGATGGTTTGGTGAAGCGTGTGGCTTGGGGCGCCACATCCGTTGTGGCTCAAATGATAGGACATGGTGAGCTGGCTCATGGCTGAGCTTGGACCATTCGTCCAGCTGGATGCTGGCGGATGCTGGCAGTGGTGTACCCCAGAAAGCAAAGGAGCCAAACAAGTTCTATCACTAGGCATGGCCCAGCTAGGCCAATAATGCGGCCAAAAGAAACCCCGAAGAACGACTTATTGCGCTTTGACTGCGATGTTTTGATGGCACACTTGGTACAAGCACACAAGCTTAAACCTCAGGCTGTGCTTTCTATCGGTGCGCTTTGTGTCCTGTTTTCCACCTGCATGCAAGCTTGCATCGGTATGAGTGCCAGAATCAGTAAGTTGAATTCTTCCCCCAAAGGCCATGTAAACACTTCTTGTCCCACATCCATCGAAGTCAAGCTACACAATTACGTCGGTGCTTTTCCAATGAGCCTTCTTTCGGGTTGGACATCCTCCAAATCCCTGCAGATCCCAACACCAGGGTCCCATCCTCCAAGATGCTCGAAGGTGCCAAAGCCATGGGCGCTCTCCAGCGCCCTCCCCTCCGACAGCCAACGCCGGGCTGCAGCGACATCACCTGCCTGCAATAGGGCGATTGCAAATCACTGGAAAACAATATGTTTCTAATTTTTTCTCACTGAGGATCAGTCTGGAACTCGAGTTTGGGCGCATCAACCCCTCACATCGCTGCAAATACACCATACACCTGGCCCACCTGGCTTCCACAAAAGCCATGTTTCTTTTCCAGGCGTTTCTGCGGGTGGCTGGAGTCTAAGGAATCTCTACTCTCGAGGTCATTCCCCTTAAATTCTCTACCAAGGTCGAGTCGGATCAGATTTCTGGCAGGTCCACTCTTGGAGGGTCAGACATCCTCCCGCCTTGGCAGCAGCCTCCATGAGCTTTCCGAAGGTCTTCCCATTGGGCCTCACGCCCTCGGCGCGCATCCCCTGGACATGCGATGGTTCGCTGCGTGGAAAGAGGCCGTGGAACGTAGCACCAAGCAGTTGAGAGTCGAGTCATGTATATCCCCAGACGGGCTCCTGACCTACCTACTGAGAAGATGGTTATGGTGGGTGCCAGTGGGGTCTAACCACGGATCTTGAAGAACTGGGCTTTCCTGGTAGTTCATGGACTATAGCCGGACTGTAGTAGCAGTTATAGTTATGAGTTTTAACATACTGTAAGGATCAAGGATCTGGAAGGCACAGTGTGGTGTACATGCTTCGCCTGATTCACCCTTTGGACAATAATAATCATGGCTATAACCTTCTTTCCAGCCTCTGCCACTGTAAGCTTTGTACCTGAACGTCTCCCTGTTGCTTGAAACAGCCAAAACACAATACGATAAAAGCAGCATTGAGCAGCTCAGGCTGGTGAGAACCTGACTTGGGTGTTGTATCACACATATTCTTGCCAACAAGTGACTGAATAGAGAGAGAGAGAGAACCACAAATCACCAGATCTCACCAGTTGAGCATCCCACAAACCCTGAATTCTACACAAACTTGGAAGCTTTTCAAGAAAAGCTCCTCCTCTTTTACATCGATTGGACCAGCCGCCACAGTGGCGATCGATGTCACGTCATAATCGTCAGCGGTTGTGACCCACACCCAGTCGATCCACGTTCACTGGTCACCAGTGGTTCCAGAGACGATCAAAACCATACCATAGTCCAAACGAGGGCCCTGGTTCCTTCTACCCCGCCACACATTCCATGGGACTGGACGACATGCCACCCCAGAAAGACCCCAAGTCAACCACCTCAATGTCTGACTTGGAAGACCACCCCAAGTCAACCACCCCAAGTCAACCACCCCAAGTCAACCACCAGCCACCAAGATGGCAGTCCCAAGGGAATGTCTGGGAGAGTGGCTGGCCTGGTCAGTCCTAGTCCCGTCCTTGTGACGGAGTCTGACTCCCAGAGGTTCCGAGGGTCAACATGTGGTTCAAGGGTCCTTTTGATTTGAGGTTTTATATCTTACTTTTACTATTATAGATCTATATAGATGATTTGGGGTCCCAACATGAATCCTCCGTGCATCCATTTGTTAGGGGCCACCCCACCAGAAAACCGATGGTTTGGAGGTCTCTGAGAGACGTCTCCCTTCGGTCTCCCGACCAGAACCGGAACCCCCCGAACCCCCCACCCACCCCCTCGCACCTCGTAGACTCGCTCGGCGCCCAACAAGTCTCCGGCGTTGGCATGGGCCTCGCAAACCGAAGACGTACCCGGCAGGCCCTGGCGCATGGGACTGGTGGGGTGGACCGGTTGACCGGTTCCAAGTACCCGGTTGTACCCAGACATGATGGAATATGACCCCCATTCACCAAAAGGTCGGTATTTGATGGTATTTGAATAGAGAGAGATCCCCTGGACCGGTTTGAGGGTTGGGTCTATGTCCCTTCCAGGGGTCTTTGGGAGGTCTCCCTATGCAAATACCATACGGGCCCATATTACTTGTCACTAATTCTTCAAAGGTAGACTCCACGTCCTGAGCTTCCAAAGACCTCCCGGGTCGGGTCGATTCCTCGACGGTGCAACGTCTGTCATCTCGGCGATGGATGGTCACTATTTGATGGTATAGGCGGTATATGTCTGGTTGTTTTGGTGCATCACTTGGCTACAGACATCTGTCGATGGCGTGCGCAAGAGTGTTTTTTGGTGCATCACTTGCCACGTATGTTTTGAGTGTATCCTGATCATATCGACCTCGTCTTCAGACGATGGTATCGTCTCGGTCAACCCGAGATGGTCAAACCATCGGTCTCGGTCTCGCCCGCGATCCGAGGGATTCGTCGGAGGGTTCACCATCGGTCGAATGGCCGAGGGTTCACGCTCGAGTCACGGGTCTGGCCGATGGGTCGCGGTAAACAACGGTCGCCACACGGGACAGGGGTCGCCACGAAGCCGTCTCACCGGTATTTCTTCAAATCAATGAGAATACCAGCCGTTGATTCTGGAAGAGTGTGATACTACAGAATAAATACTGGAAGTTTTTTGTCTGTCTCACCAACAATCCCTGTCACATGAAGCCACATGCTTCCGGCAGCTTCGCAGTTGCCTCAACAACCCGGCTATGCCTTCATCAGGGTATTCCACTGCAGCCGTTCTTTCGTTGGGATCTGCCGAAAAAGCTCCTGGCAAACAACATCAACGCGGCTTGGCATCAAATCCTGCGAATGCTAGTCTGAGGCGGAAAATGATGCATCTGACTTCTAGCTATAGAGTACGTAGAAGGGTGCCTAGCATTATCATGATCATCACAAAGTCCTGTGAAAGCAGCTCACTTGCTAGCTGGGATTAAAGAACAGCGACAAAGATTGCTCCATCGAGTCGGGTTCTGTCCACGTTTCATTGGAAGCAGCTAGCGAACATCCAAAACAGCCTGGAACAAACGCTAGAGCCGCTAGAAGCAAACCATTTGACTACTGTATTCTGCTGATGTTCAAGAGCAGTTGGTTCATACTGGTTTGAGTCTCGCACAGTTCCTTTTCGCAGCAGCGAATCAGCTCAAGGGCCCTGTTCAGCCGAAACAGCAGCGACGGTGCATCAACTGTACGCAATACACCTTGGCTACAAAAGCTGAAATTCACACCCGTCTTATCTACAGGTGTGTTGCGGGCTTTACAGTTCAAGTTGTACAAAGGCAGCCAAGCAACTCTATTCCCCGTGGGGCCGTAAACCATGCCATTCCATGTCGAATTCTCAAAACAAGTCAGGTGAGACTTCTTCATCTTTCTTCTTGGCTCCCTTCTCGCATGCGCCACTGTTCTCGACATTTACAAGGCCACTTTCCAGTGTCTTGAGGAGGTAGTCCGGCTTCATGCTCTTGGTTAGCGGGTCTGCCAATTGCTTCGATGTCTCAATCCACCTCAGGTGGTCACCATAGGGACTGTAGATCTCTGATGTTTTCTCGCCACTCACAGTCCACACCCCTTGCCTCAATGCGGCAAGTTCTATGCCAAGCCTCTTGTCTTGTACCTTCCTTGGAACTTCTGCCAGTAAATGGTCCGATAAGCTCCGGCAATCCGTGTAGTACACGTGTGCCATTCGTCTCTGAGTTTCTTCATGCCAGTTCTTGAAGTCATCAAGTCGTCCGGTCAACTCACAAATCAGGCATCGTAGACGATCTCCATGTTCGACTGCAGTTTGCAGAGCGTATGCTTCTGCTTGCAATGTAGCACGACACACCCTTTTGAGGGTGGTTGAACCAAAGCTGATCAGATGCATTCTGTGACTGCCTTCCTTGAGGCTGCTCGCATTCGTTATGTAGTGAATGCGGCCTTGCTGGCTCTTGAAGCCCTCTTCATTTGCGAAACTTGCGTCGCTAAATGTCACAACTGCCAAATCGCTCCAGTCAATCCAATCACTCTTGAAGGTGATCTGCAAGTCACTTCCTTGAAGTGCCAATTCAACAACCTTGTTGGCGTTCTTCAAGTCTTGCACTGTTGCCTTTGCGCTACATGCACGCTGCATCTCATTCACACGGTAACAAAGGTCTGGTCTTCCATAACGGGCAACCCAAGCCAAACTACCAACAACGCTCCTGAGGCTTGTCAACTCCTTCTCTTTCACCTTTTCCGACAGCTTCCGATGCTTGTCGATTTCGATCGGCTTCACTGTTCTGCAGTTTTCACTTGTAGAAATGCTCACGGAGTAATCCTCATGCTGTACGAACTGACGTCCGCAGTATCGGAACTTTCCCGATTCTGTTTTGCCAATCGTGAACCTTTTGAGGATACCTTCAATTGTCTTCTTGCCTTCGTCAAGGTAGCAATACAACAAGTCGTCAACATGTGTCGCGACCATGCCTATCAACTTTCCCTTGGAATTGTGCAAATAGTACAATGCAGGTGTAATGCGACTGCACTTCAACCCGGCACTGGTGATCTCACCATTCATCCTCAAGTAAAAACCTCTGCCAGCGTCGATCGTGCCATAGATCGGAAGGCGTGCAACCAACATTGCATCCGGTGGAACATCTGGGCTTGGAATTCCACCACGTGGCTGTTTGAGCAACAGCAACCTCGTCATAGGCTGACTTTGAAAATACGCTGAGGAAACATCTGCCGCATACAGGGTCACACGATGGCTTGATGCGAAGCTTGCAATCAACATGTGTCCTTCAGTCTCAGCGGTAGGGCTATCGCAGCGAATACCCTGTGAATCACGGCTCACTTGTTCGTGATTTCCACAAGCTACTAGCCGAGATCTGTTTTCTGGCTGATGTTCAGGCGTACCTGTCAGATGCGCTTGCTTATCCACATCTACCCATTGCATAGGAATAGGAACATGCCCTTCTTGTTGTAACTCTTCCAATTCCTTGCCCCGAATAGGCATTGCCGCATTGAAGCTCCTATATTTGCTCCACTCTGCACGACGTGCATCCAAGATGCGGGCTTGCATCTCGGGAGTGCATCGGTCGTACTGCAGCGTCTTTGCCACCTTGCCAACCTGCGTCTCACTGTTTTCTCCAAAGCGTTGAGCCACGAAGGCTCGAAACTCTGCAGCATCGAGTTCAGTGTCGTCAGCAGCGGCCATGGCGATCAACGGGTGTTTTACCCGTGTAAAAATTGTGAAACCTGTCCATGCGCGAGAATCAACATCATCCATGCCCGGCATGGACTCGCTGGTCATTCGACTTCCGTCTTCATAGACTTTTCTGGTTACGCGTCTTCCTCCGAATCCTTCCGGAACATCTCCGTCACGCAGCGGATGAAAGTCATGGAATCTCCTCTTGTTGTGAACACGAATTGCATGGTTCTCAGAGATTCTCCAATGGTCTTCATTGTCAACCAATGCAAGCATGACCTCATCATCACCACCAATGCCTCCGGGGGTCATCGGAACTGCAACTGCGCTTCCACTCGCGCTTGCAGATGATCGGGCAGCCTTGCCCGTCTTATCTTCTGCTTGTGCTTCTCTCTTCTGTCCCTTCTTAGGGCTTGCTTCTTCATCCATCATTCGGATGTACTTCTGCTGTCCCAATGTCACTGCCTCCGGGAAGACTGGGATGTTGTTCAAAATGGAGTAGGCCAAAGATTCACTCTCATTGGCTGATCTAAGTTTTCCGGCGGCACACAAAATAGGAATACCTTCATGTAGCAACCAGATGCCATTATGCGGGTCAATGCCAATCACACGCGAAGCAGTGGACCACACGGTTCCACCTTGCTGGGTGTCTCGACGGTAGACCACAAGGTCTCCAACCACAAATGACTTCTTGTTCTGGACTGCAGCATTCCTGGTCAGTGCTCTTGCAACGCGGGAACTTGTATCCAAATGAATGAATGCCTTTTGTGCAGCCATACGGGATGCATGGCACAAATGATAGCTTGCTGCAGGGTCAAGCTTGTTCTCCAAGATGCCCAAGTTTCCTGCCTCATCCATATCTGTCACAGATCCTGGAACTCTTGGGTTCCTTCACAGGACCCATTGTGCTGGAGAATAGCCTTGGACTCTTTGCATGTGGTTCTTCACGGAAGTGCACTCGTGCAAACATGTTTCAAATGCATTACGGCCAACAGCTTCCATGTCATGGATGGTCTTCCTGAGGATTGCCTTCAAAATACCTTGGTGCCTTTCAACCTTGCCAATAGCAGACGGTGTCTCCAATGGTGCATAGAAGATCTCAACACCGTGCGAAGCGAACAGCTTGGACACCTCACCTCGGTTGTGGACACCTCTATCCATGATTGCAGCCTTTGGAAAACCTGCCCAACTGATCCATCTGCGAAGGATAGCTTGTGCACAGGCTTCTGACGTTGGCATACCTCCACCTTCTTTGACAACCTCTGACAAATGGAATCCTGTCGAAATGTCTAGCATCGTGAGAATGCTGTACTTGTTCCCTGCATAGTCCTTCATTTCTGTGACATCAAGACCAAGCATGGCATTGAACTCATACTGGAAATTACCATTTCCTACCGGATGGTCGCGGGGACGTGGTGCAGTGTCTTCGCAGGACTGACAGCGGACAAGGCGTGCAGCTTCGATCAACTCCTTGCTTGCCTTACCTGCCTTTAAAATATTCTTCAAAGTTGACGGTGCGGGATGTCCGAACTGCCGATGCAAGCGACGAATTGCAATGCGAGTCCTCTGGGGGAGAGCACGCCACAGTCGTCTCCGTTTCTGTTCCGTCATGTCGGCTCCGGGCAATGCAAGTTGATCTAGCATGAGTTCTTCCTGTTCTCTTGCCGTCAATGGTTTTCCATCATCATGTTTGGTTTCCTGAAGAACTCCCTCAATGTCACTGTCCTCAATTTCAGAGATGTCTTCGAGTTCGTCTGCGACAAAACATGTCCGTGCAAAATGTTCCAAATAAGTTTCTTCTGACATGGTGTTCAACATCTCTAGAAGTCTTGCCGATTTCGCGTCCTCAAAACATTTTGGGATCATGTTCTCTCCGCACCAACCTTCCAGCGCCTCCAAGATCTTGGGGCTTTGTGGACCTGCCAAGGCAAACTCTAGGTCACCACCAAGACAAATGGAATGTTCAACAGATATCTCGAGAAGTGGTGTGAAAAGAAGAAGGTTGCAACCATACATATCGACTTCCATGAGCATATCATTCCAAATCCTCCTGGGGTCCGTGTTCTCCAAAAACAGTACAACCAAACCAGGGATCTTATTTGAAATGTGCTTGATGACCTCTTTGCGGGTCTTCACCCAGTTTGCGCCTACATCGAATATCTTTGCACTCTGGGGTGCATTGATCAACATGTCATCCTTGACAATGACCATGTGTTGCACACTCAACGGGTTGTTCGAAACTAGTGCATGCAGGACTGAGTCGTTCTCTTGCAAGGTCTGCAGGCCGGCGACAAACGCTTGTTTTTCTCCTTTGTTCATAGTTCGGTGATCCAGAGCTACGAATGCATGACCATCGCTGTCGGAGCTCAGCTCGATCTCTCCTTGGAAGCGGCTCATGATGAACTTGTCTCGGTCGAGCACCTCACGCGAGCTAGTCGGACGATCCGGAGTGCTTCGTGTACTCATGGTAACTACGTCATCGTCTGACAATTCCTCTTTGGGTGCGTTCGACGTTTTGCCATCTCTGTGGACTCTGTCTTCGTGCGTTTCGAAGGTCCTTCGCTCGGCCCGTCTCCAGTTCCTTCATCATCACCAGGCGGTTCCT